CCCGTTCCTTCGTTCCCGATGACTATAACCTCAGAATGAAGGGCTGGGCTTTGGCTTCCTACATCTAATATAATATTTTTCCTCAACGGGAAGCCAGAGGCTTTCCAGCACAGTCTTCATTCTTGCGCTAAATGAGTTAAATGTATTTCTTGCTCGGTGGACCCTGAGATGAAATAATAATAATTTTTTTAAAAAAAATCTGATTAAAAAGCAGCTTTGCTTCTGCTTTTGGGGCGGAATCTGATTTAAGGGTACGATCTGGAATCCAGGTAGTCCTCGCCACAACCGAGCCCCACCATTTCTGTCGTTAAGTGGGACCTTCCTTGAGCTGAGTCTTGCCCCGTTTCAAGACCTTTGCAGGATGTAAGCCGTTTCAAGTCAAGCTGCCTTCCGCAATTGACTGATGGGGATTCTGTCAATGCCAAAAATGTCGTAAATGTGGAAAAACGGCCCCTAAGTCACTTTTTTTCAGTGCCGCTGTAATTTTTAAACGGCCACTAAATGAAAATGTTGTAAGTTGAGGATAGATCTCATGAAAGGAGGGGTTGTAAAGGCAATCCTCGACTTACGACCCTAATGGAGTCTGGCCCATTAGGGTCATAAGTCAAGGACTTAACTGTACTGCCTTTCTGAATGGCTCCAACCTCACTTAGTCTTCTTATGTCACAGCATGATTTTTTTCCACAAAAACTCCTGGTTTTGGGGTTTTTTTTTTTACTCCGAAAGAAATCTTTTTACAACTGGGTTATTATATTTTATTTATAGTCATAATATCCCTCTCCCACCCCCACTCCCCGACCCCGGTGCGGTACGACCCTTGCAAAGCCCAATTTTGATGATTTTTTTTTTTTAAAAGCAGACTGTTTGATTAAAATAAGAAGCAAAATAATCTTTTGGGGAGGGGGCGCCCACGTTGGCTCGGTGAAATGTGTTCAGGCGTAGACCCCCGCAGGCCTCCTTGAAAGCCATCCCAGCTAGAAAACCAAATTTGGCAGCTTTCCCGGAAGTTTTCGTAGGCCAGCCAGACCCACCCCAAGTAATGCACGAAAGTGGGAGTTTCGTTAAATCAAAAAAAATTTTACTCGGGGCTCGGATCAGGCGTGCACCCAGGCGCTCCATTCCCAACGGTTTCTAAACCTCTCCTCCTAAAACCATCAGCGCTGACATTCAGATTTCACCTTGGGGGGGCAGGTTTTCTTCTGCGAGCAGAAAGAAAGTTGGGGAAATAATTAGGAAGGAAGGAAGATCCACGGCTGAGGTGGTGGCGGCCATTGAGCTGGGATAAGCCAATGCGGATGCTTGAAGGTATCATTGCAGGATGTAAGCTGTTCCGAGCAAAGCTGCCTTCTACAATTGACCGATGGGGATTTTGTCAATGCCACATTGTCCAAGTATTATTATTACGGTTGGTTGCAGAGTCATCCAGATGTTCAGACTGGATTTGGCTTTTTTGTCTACCTATCCAAGTCCTTCCCCAAGGACCTGGGAGAGGCAGATGTGAACGTGTTGAAGGTTTTAATCAATAAGATGTAAGATGTTCCCAGCAAAGCTGCCTTCTGCAATTGACCGATGGGGATTTTGTCAATGCCGGTGGTGTCAATTTCAGCGTTTTATTGGCTTTTAATGCTTGTAAGCTGCCCAGAGCCGCCTCTAGGCGAGATGGGCAGCAAGCAAGTCTGATACCTAAATAAATTAAATAAGTCAAAATTAAGACCAGGCCTTTCTCCTAAGAGGAAACAAACACCAGCAAGAGCTGGAGGAGCCAAATGAGTTTTTGTTAGTATTTCAAGTTGGCAGATCGTCACAGGAGCCAAGCCAAGTCCCAGCATTTCATGCACAGCGGGAAACACGAAGTCTAATTCTGAGGAATTTAGATCAAACTGCATTTCGAACTCTTCTGCCTGCATAGACAGCTGCGCCCGTTGAGTGAAAGGTTCAGCCAGTTGGCCCCGGAATAAAGTTGGCTTCGGCAGAGATCATCATCAGCGGAAGATTGAAAAAAAACTCCCAACAGCTTCTAAATATTTATAATCTTCCATCTCTTCGAGCTGGATGCCATTAATTCTCTAATTGCAAAGGCAATTAAGCACATCACACAGTGGTGGGTTTCAAATTTTTTTACTACCGGTTCTTTGGGCGTGGCTTGATGGGCGTGGGCATGGCATGGCTTGGTGGGCATGGCAGGGGAAGGATACTGCAAAATCCCCATTTCCTCCCGATCATCTGGGACTTGGGAGGCGGAGAATAGATGGGGTCGTGGCCAGTCAGAATTTTTACTACCGGTTCTCCGACCTACTCAAAATTTCTGCTACCGGTTCTCCAGAACTGGTCAGAACCTGCTGGAACCCACCTCTGATGTCGCATCGTAAACGAAACCAGCCCTTACTTAATTGCAATTCATTTTCTTTGTAAAAAAAAAGAATATTGGCAAGTATCGTGGACTCTGTCAGGAAGAGAATAACAGTATAATGGTATAAACGTGACTGGATGTGAATTTGATCTCTAATGTTGGATAATAAAACTCACTTTTAGATAGGGCCGGATGAAAAAATAATACCAAAAAATTGAATAAATCGGGGCAAGGATATACCTTTGATTAGGGGTGAACAAAACTCCGCATTGTCGACAGGAAAGGCGTCCGGCCAGTAAACAATCTGCTAGCTCCATTCAGGTGCCCAGACTCCACCCCACAAGGGATTTGGGAGTCGTTAAAAGACGATGATGAAGGATATACCTCTGACTCTCTTTAGAATGGAAACTGAAGCAAATATCTTCCAAGGTTGACACATGTCTTCCTCATTTACGTGCACTGTGATTAAACCACGATTTCTGGCTAGCTTGTAGAACGCTACATAGCGTGTCAGTTTCTCCTTAGCCTGTTGTTGTCTCCATAGCTTCTCTCTGAATAATAAATCAAAGTCTGTCTTCAAATTATTGAAGGCAACTTAGAAAGTTCTGCATGAGGTCATCCTTCTGCTAGATGATTGCAGGCTCATGCATTAGTCACCGTCTGGATCTGAGGCCCGGTTCTCTTTTTCCCCATCGGGGAAAATTTCCACGAAGGAATCTAAAACAATACTTAGCAAAGTGATGGGCCCATCAAAAAAATCAGGCAGGTGGTTCTTACCACCTTTAAGAGAAAAACACAAAACAAAAAACCAATGGGAGCATGGAAGCCAGCCAAGAACCCCAAAATCAAACAATTTTCAGACCTTAAAACTCGTTTTGCAAACCGTTGTACCTTAATAGGAGAACCGAATTGTTTTTGCAAGGACTTGTGTTGGTCAAGACCGAAGGACCGTTGTTACCTCAGGGGTTGGACATCTTCCATCTGGAAGCAATTCCCAAGTCACCCAGATCTAATCCTTTGTTGAGATCTAATCTCTCTTCCTTTCTCTCTCTCTCGCTGTCTCTCACTCTCTCTCTCGCTCTCTTTCTCTCCCTTTCTCTTTCTCTCTAGCTTTCTCTCTCCCTTTCTCTCTCTTTCTCTCTCTCTCTCTTCCTTCCTTTCTTTCTCCTTGTCTCTGTCTCTCTGTCTCTCATGCTCTTTCTCTCTCTGTGTCTTGCTCTCTTTCTCTCTCTCTTTTCTTTTTCTCTCTCTTCCTTTCTCTCTGCCTGTCTCTGTCTCTCTCTATCTCTCGTGCTTTCTCTTTCTTTCTTTCTTTCTTTCGTTCTTTTTCTCTCTCTTCCTTTCTTTCTTCCTGTCTGTGTCTCTTGCACTCTTCTCTCTCTCTCTCTGTCTCGCTCTCTTTCTCTCTCTCTTCTTTTCTTTTTCTCTCTCTTCCTTTCTCTCTCTCTGCCTGCCTCTGTCTCTCTCTATCTCTCACGCTCTTTCTCTCTTCCTTTCTCTCTCTCTCTCCCTGTTTCTGTCTCTCTGTGTCTCTCACGCTCTTTCTCTCTCTCTGTCTCTCTCTTTCTCTCTCTTTCTCCCCCTCCCTCCCTCCCTCTCCCCCCCCAGCACATATCAGTGTAATATATACAGTAAATGCAGCAATTGTTGGTTCCGCGTGGCCTTTAGGAAGTTGTCAAAGAATGCGATAACGTTATTTTCTGTCTACGCTCCAGTGTGCATGCTGGCTACAAATGTGTAGCCTATTGGCCCTCAAACCATCTTCCAATTTCCAGAATTGTCATCTGTCTGGCTCAAATTCCTGTAAAACCTCTCGTTCCTCACCCCCCACCCCACCCCACCCCCCCGAGACGCTGATGCTGTGAATTCTTGACTGGCCAGTGGTCTTGCAAATAAACTCAAAGCATATGTTTCTCGTTCGACACCGATGGTCACACCTGAGACCCTGCATCGTATTTTTCATTTATTTATTTTTTTTCGTATTGGTGGGGTAGGCTATTGCTATCAAAATGATACGTAATGCAGAGTTCAAGATTTCAGTTAATTAAAGAGATTATGGAGCGAACGCTGGAGGTTCGCTTTTGTTTTTTTTTTTAAAGAAGAGTTTGCACAACCCTTTGTGCAAAAACGGTGTAAAGTTTCCTGCTTGAGCGAGGGGTTGGACTGGAAGACCTCTGGGGTTCCTTCCAACTCTGTTGTTCCGTTAGATGTTTCAGGAATAAGAGATGGCGTCATTCTGGTGGGTCGGAAGCAGTGTTTGAGAACACTTGAAACTCTTGGCCCGCTCTTGAACTTAAGCTTTCTTCCACCTTAAATAGTTAAAGGCAACAACTTTATTGTCTTCTGCCTACGTTACAAGAATCTTACTAGGCTGCTTGCCTTCCCTGGGAACCACCAGATAAGTCTTCCATGGATCTTTGAGGCGGTCAGGCTTTTCTGCCTTTTGCAGCTGCGCGATGACTCCAAGCTAGTTCCCTGCTTGACCCCACCTTCCAGTTTCCCAACACTGCCCTCTTTTTCTCCTCCTCCGTATCGTCTTCACCTTCCTCCAGAAAACGTTTCCAGCTTTCCCCCGAGAACAGAGCGACGGCTCCCCTAACGATGGGCTTCCCGATACCTAGTTTAGGATTAATTGGTGTCTATTTTGTAGGTCCGTCCGAAGTGTCGGCAGCTGTGAGGTTCAGCAGGAGGCCCACCTGTCCTGACGCCTCGGTAGCGGCCAGCATGCACACCCCTCCTGTACCACGACACAGGAAGAGTCACAGCCTCGGAAACAAGTGGGTGTTGCAATCTGCACTGAAACATGCAGCTTAGTTAGGTTTTTTTTTTTTTTTTTAAGGCAGCCATTGGAAACATGCTGCAGCCAGCCGCCTTCTTCTTAGGAAGCCATCTCCCTTTCTCTACAGGTAGTCCTCGACTTACAACAGTTTATTTTAGTGACCGTTCAAACTTAACACAATGGCACTGAAAAAAAAGCGGCTGATTTATGACCGTTTTTCACAGTTATAACCTTCATAAGGGATGTGGTAGCTCAGTGGCCAAGACGCGGAGCTTGTCGATCGAAAGGTCGGCAGTTCAGCGGTTCGAATCCCTAGCGCCGCGTAACGGGGTGAGCTCCTGTGACTTATCCCAGCTTCGGCCAACCTAGCAGTTCGAAAGCATGTAAAAAAAAATGCAAATAGAAAAAATAGGGACCACCTTTGATGGGAAGGTAACAGCGTTCCGTGCGCCTTTGGCGTTGAGTCATGCCGGCCACATGACCACGGAGACGTCTTCGGACAGCGCTGGCTCTTCGGCTTTGAAACGGAGATGAGCACCGCCCCCTAGAGTCGGGAACGACTAGCACATATGTGTGAGGGGAACCTTTACCTTTAACCTTCATAGGGTCCCTGTGATCACGCCATCAAAAGTCAGACGCTTAGCAACTGGCTCATATTTGTGACCGTTGCTGTGCCCCCAAGGTCACATCATCCCCTTTTGTGAGCACGAAATTAACGGGGGGGGGGGGGAAGGCAAGTTCACTTAACAACCGGGTTACTGACTTACCCACCGTAGTGACTCGCTTCCCCTACCGCGGCAAGGAAGGTCGTGAAATGGGCCGTAACTCGCTCAACAAAGCGACGGAAATTTGGGGCTCAATTGTGGTCGTAAGACGAGGACTGCCTGCAGTTACTTTGCAAGGATCCTGGTTCCTTAGTAACGCACATTCGTCTTAGAAACCCCTTTATCTGGTCTTGCAGAAGTTCTGCTGCGGTGCCACTTTTTCCCCCGGTGAAAGTTGGCCGATACCAGAAGATAATTAAGATAATTTTCCTTATCACCCAAGTCAAGGATGGTTCTTCCTATTTTATGGGTGCCAAATTGGCCTAAAAGAAATCAGCCTTTCAGTTAAGGAATTTGTGCATTCAGCTTAGTGTTAGAAACAGCACTGCTTTCTCCAGCATTTTTAAACAGTGGAACGCCTTGCCACCAGAAGTTGTGGGAGCTTCATCCCTGGAGGCTTTCAAGAAGAGACCGGACTGCCATCGGTCAGAAATGGTGTAGGGTCTCCAGCTTGGGCAGGGGGTTGGACTAGATGACCTACGAGGTCCCTTCCAACTCTATTCTGATTGATTGATTTCCTGTCCCTTAAGAACCCCCATAAAGTCCAATTGTCCAGGCAGGCAAAATCTGAGCATGAACGGCTTTTACCAGATGATCTAAGAAAATGTTGCCTTTTTTCCCCCCCCCCCCCTCCCTCCCTTTCTTTCTTTTTTTCTTCCTTCCTTCCTTTCTTTCTTTCTTCCCATTTTTCCAGTATGATGTGTCAATTCAGTGTAGTAGAAAGTAAAAGCGCCACCTTCCCAACAGAGAAACAGCGCCACCTGCTGGATGACAGTGTCTTAGAATCTCACAGCCCTGTCAGGAACCACCCGCTAAATTCTGTTTTCACCAATGGTGTTTCACTAGGTAAGTATTCAGAAGGGTAGCTTTGGGAGCTTGCCCATCTCCTCCGCTCTGGAATCCAGAGAGGGCCCTCGGGGATGACCAAACAACTGGGGAAAACTCAACTTAACCACCTTTCGTTCGGGTAGGGTCTTCTAGAAGACTTCCGAAGGTGTCCCGTCCCGTCCTCCAAACTCTGTTATTCTGTTTAGGGACCATCCAAAGTTCCAACAGCCCCGAAGAAAGTGGCATACGACTGTTTTTCACACGGCCGTTGAAACATCCCCGTGGTCAAAATTTGGCAAATTGGCGTGTCCACTTAACACAGAGATCGGCAACCTTAAACACTCAAAGAGCCACAAAAGTCCTAACCAGAAGCCGCCCCCCCCATTCAATTCTGGAGCCAACTGGAAGTCCGGTTCCCCCACCATAGAGACTCCTCCTAGCGCGGCATCCTTTTTTCCTCTACCTGTCCTAACCAAAAGCCCTAACAATTGTGAAGCCGACCGGCGACAGGGAGCCGCAGCAGAGGAATGAAAGAGCCACATGCGGCTCCAGAGCCGCAAGTTGCTAACCCCTGACTTAACAGCTGGAGCAATTCACCTCTCACAACCGTGGCCAGAAAGGGAGACAAACACTCTTAACAACTGCCTTGCTTACCAAGGGAAATTTTAGAGTCTGTTAAGATTATAAATCAAAGGACCGCCAGTTAAACCGAGTTTCAGGGCGAGGAAGAATCGTCCCATCTTTGTAGATAGAAATCGCGCATCATTAAGAATCCGGAGCCTGCTAACACTTTTTCCAACACAAGAAATTTTATTCTCAGTTGGAAGTCCACAAGGTGCTCTTATTTTCAAGAGGCAAGTGGACTTCCTTTGTTTTTCATGGAAGACGTTTCGCTTCTCATCCAAGAAGCTTCTTCAGCTCCGAAGAAGAGAGAAGAAGAGCTGAAGAAGCTTCTTGGATGAGAAGCGAAACGTCTTCCAAGAAAAAAAACCAAGAAAGTCCAGTTGCCTCTTGAAAAAAGCACTTTGGGGATAACCGTGACCTGATGGATGACTGAGAAGCTCCATTGTTAGTTGGAACTAAATTAAGATCACCAAAGTAAGATGCCTTTGAATGAAACGCATTAGTCGGAAAAGGTGCTGCCAGATTCCTGGCTTCCCAACACCTTAGATTTACACGACTCGGATCTATCCGAGTTTACACAACTATCCTACGACGCGGGTAGCTTTAGAATACATCTTAAGTCATCGGAGAACGTTTACAAGACTCTCTGTGGCTTGCCTCCATTCAACTCCTTGCCTGAGGTAACTCCCGCCATCTTGATAGATTCTCGATCTTTTCTTCACCAGGAACACCCTCCCCCACCCCTTTAAATACCTTTTGTGGCCATGGCCACGGATTCCAAAGACTTAAGATTTAAATCCTGACGTTTCTTCAAGTCTTCGTGGATCCCCTGTGACGACACCGCGCTCCTTCCCCCCTCCCCCCCCATAGGGTAGACACCATTCAGCCGGTTCTATCCGGTTCGGGAAAACTGGTAGCTGCGGCTGCGGGAGGCTCCGCCCACCCGCCCGGACATCATCATGTCCTGTTTTTGACGCTGTGTGCTGGAGCTGAGCTAGGGCAGCACTCGCGTGCCAACCAATATGGCTACACATGCCACCTGTGGCACGCGTGCCATAGGTTCGCCATCACGGATTTAAGGTCTCCTGTCTTGAGCGGGGGGGGGGGCGGTTTGGACTAGAAGACCTCTAAAGTCCCTTCCAGCCTATGGCTCTATGTTCCAGAAGGTAGAATTAGCAGGCAAGACAGTGAGGAAACTGTTGGTTGAGAGACCTTGGTGTCTTTGATGGCTTGGAGTTGGTCTACTGTAGCATGAGTTTCTGATTAAACTACCTGTGAAACAGGCAACGCAATTTACCATATCACAATCTAGTCAATCAATCAATCAATCTCAAATGATGGTCATGTTGAACGGTTCCCTAGCCACATTTAGATTACCGGTAATTTAGCCTTCTTGAACAGGGAAACGAGGGTTGTTATGATGGCTACCATTTGAACGATACACCTAAGCGATAGACAACCCCAAAAAATCTAAATTACTCCGTTTGCAAAAAAAAAGAAAAGAAAAGAAAACCCATTTCATCCTTAAAGACTCAACTTTAAATTCCCTTCCGGTGAATTTAATGGGATTGCATTGATTTATTAAAAACAGACCCTCATTTCCATAATCCGATAAATCATCTGCTTGATTTTCCATGACACCGAACTGCCAGTTCCTGTTCTCCCATCTCAATTAAAGGGGGAAAAATATCTAACATCTCTTTATTGTCTCTTTTGTCTGTGGATGGAGGGGGATTTTTCTTTCTTTCTTTCTTTTTTACTGAAACCCAAATGTCGTTGCATTAAACCGCGAACGTCTTTATTTTCGATAAATCGAATTTCCCCCGAGAACGAATCTCCTTCTCCTTTGCAACCTGGTGAAAATAAAGACAGCTTTAAAGCTTCCTTAAAATATTTGTACGTATGGAAAATTGCAACCTTTTGTGGCTTGGAGTGTCAACGGCACGAAACCAAGTATCAAGATCTTTTGGCTTCTGTGAGGGGACACGATAGACCTGTTTTGAATTATTATTATTTCCCCTTCCCCTGCTTTAAAATATTTGTCCTTTTTGTTTTGCAGAAAGCAGCGAAAGTTCGGAATTCAGCGAAGAACCATCATTGGGGCTGGAAAGGTGAGTTTCTCTTTGACTGTGAATGGATCGGACCTAGTTGCATTTTAACTGAAGTCTAAGATCATCTGAATTACCCAAATTCAAATCGTGGGGTTATGCAAAGAAATGTTCTCCCTCTTAACATTTTCTTTATCTGGGGCTGTGAATGTTCTACGAATTTTGCAATGCTTTTCTTGTGTGCATCCAGCAGCAGGCTAGATTTTCCAGTGGCGTCAAGCTTTAGAATAAATATTTCCAAACCTTTGCTCGTGCCAAAGGTAATATTGAATTATTGTCAATCAGAATGCCCACAATCTCACTCGTGTTTCCTTCTCCACCTGTATCTGGGCTCCCGATGAGCCCCCTTTGAGTCGATCTTTGCGATTCTAGATTTATTTCTTATACCAAGTCTTTTTTCCCCCCCGCCTTTAAAAATCTTGACTTCTTAGGCGGGAGTGACAGGCCCGAGTTTTATTTTTATTTTTATTTTTTTTAATTGAAAATATCGAAGTTGTACCCGAGTACCTTTTGGAATCTGAAGACAGGAACTTCCAGTTTCCTAAAGATTTGGAACCAAAGTTCTGGATTTTCACTTCGGAAGAGAATTAATTGTACTTGAGAGATCTGCCTAGGTTTATTTTATCCGGCAAGGAATCAGATTTTTTTTTTGCATGTTGTATATTTGCTCTAAGACCAACCTTTGGGTAGCTAAGTTTGACTGGCGTGTCACGAGATTTGGAGGAGAGTTTTGTGTTTACATTATATTTACTAATCCAGGTTCTTGTGGTTTTCTATTAGGGATTATTGTATTCTATTTCCGTAAGAAGTGTATATCCCATCATACATTCAAATATTCAAATATTATTTTTGGACTGTGAAGAACCTGCTCACCTCGTTCAGTTAACAAAGAGAGTCTTGTTTGCCTTGGTGAGGTATTACCTAAGCAGCTACTCTTTTGACCTTGCCAACTCTCAGCCGGGGAGGAAATTCGGTCACAATGCATGGCTTAGTTAGCATTTATTCTCCAAAGGCCACGCCGTCAATAACATGAAAGAACGGTATCATTTGTGGATCAGAATCTTGGTTTCCTCAAAGGGAGGAACTGGGTCGTCTGCTTACGATCAAGGCCGTTGACTGTTCCTGGTTTATTCAGCTACGATAAAGCCGCTCGTTGCTTTCAATGGGAGGTCCCACCCTTCATTCTCCGCTCCGAATTGTTCTTCTGATGTTTTGGCGTGTTTTGTTTGCTGGGTATTTTTCTCAGCTTTGCCCTCGACCTGACGGGGCAGATTTTCTTCCTACAACCCACCCCAACCCACTCCTCAAAAAACCTCTCTTATTCCCAAGATGCTCTTCCAAGTCCTTGTGAAGCTTAGAAGTAAGTAAGCCACCAAGAAACAGCTTCAACAATCCCTCCCTTTTTTAACGGACGTCCGATTCCAATCCCGACCCAAGGCTCCTCTTGCTTAGTTTACACTTCGGGTGCAAAACGTGAGGATGGTAGACCGTGATTCCATTGTGATCGGCCCCGCCTTTTCTCGTGTGTTTTAATTTTTTGGGGAGGTTTTGCCTTGCGATTTGCCTGCTAACTAAAGAACTTAACCTGTGAATTCGTAAACAGGGGTCGGTTGTATGCAACACTGGGGCCCAACTGGCGGGTGCCAATTCGGAATTCACCCAGAAGTCGGAGCTGTGTCTACAGGTACAATTAGGTGGTGGGTTTATCTCTCTCTTTCTCTCTGGACGATGGTGCCAAATCTTATTTTCACCCACTCTTTTCCCCACCCCACCCCTTGCTAATTCAGACCTTATTTTCAAAAGCATTGTCATTTTTGTTTCCCATCTGCGCAGTGACTTCCTTCTCATGTTAGCAGGGAGGGTATGCCAAGAGTTGTTTTTTTTAAAAAAAAAATCCTTATTTTTACTCACTTCTATGCTTTTCACCTCCACACCTCCAGAGAAATAGGATTGCACATGTTTACATGCAACAACGATAGGCTGTATGGTAAAATAAAGCCAGGTCATGACACCCTTGAAAGTAAATCAGGAAGCCTGGAATTGCAGAGTGTGTGTGGCAAGAACAAATAATGTTTATCTACAGGAAATAGGCCTGTGTAAATCTTGTAACAATTCTGGGTAGTTAGAAAGCTGATAAAAGTAACAAGAGTTAGACAACTTGCAGGCCTCAGCTAAAAATTAGGAATACAGATGGCCTGCAACCAATTAAAAGTGTATTAGATAATTCCTGGGACATTCATTAGCCAAGGTTTAGGAATAGGGAGAGCTAGAAACCAATAGAACAAATTGTAGAATTATTACTAAAATGTTTATTAGATGATATTTCTTGTCCCGCCTTCTCTTTTAGAGAAAATGTATTATTTATTTCATTTATTTTATTTGTTTATATTTATATACCGCCCTTCTCCCGAAGGACTCGGGATGGTGAACAGCCAACAGATAAAACACAAAAAATACAAAATTTAAAAAAGTATTAAAATCCAATTAAATTAATTTGGCCCACAATTAAAACACTCCTATATTAAAACCGATAATTAACAATTTAAGAATTAAAACAATTTAAAAGAGGCCAGCCCGGCTTGCTGGAATAAAAACGTCTTTAGGGAATGACGAAAGTTGCGAAGATCCGGGATCTGCCGTATCTCCGGGGGCAGCTCATTCCAGAGGGTAAGTGCCCCCACAGAGAAGGCTCTCCCCCTTAATCCTTCCTTAATCCTTCTTAGTTCTTGGCATTTTGGCCAGGAGCCCTTTTCCTTGGAGTACTCCAACAAAAAGCAATCAGAAAACCTTCACCTCAGTGTCTGGCGTCCATCAACACCCAAATTGGGGACAACAGGTTGTATATAAACATGCGGAATAGAAAGTCCAGTTAGACTTCTTTATCGTATTTGAACAGTCCTGAGGCATGGAGAATAAAGAAGAAGTATAGAGTTGTCCAGATTTAACCACATTTAATACCCTGTGGATTTTACTAGTGGCTTCTTAAGCAGATGCTTTGAAAAATTGCTTTGCAGGTCCAAAAGGAGTTACACATTAACATCTATCTAAAGATTGAAGCTATCTAAATTACACGTAAACTCTCACACTTGCAGAGAGTTTAAGCTTAATTTAGATAGCCTTATCTTTACCTTTTAGGTAGGTATATTTGTCTTAGAGTTTAATTATCATGGAGTACCATGAACTAGACTGTTCTCAGGTTGGTCCTTCTCTGATGCTAAATCAGATAAAACGGTAACCGTGTCTCTGTGATTTACGATTTAGCGACATGTGATGGTCGCTGAAAAAAACGTGATGCATTTCGTTCAGCAAAAAAACCGGATCTGAAATAACCTCCACGGAGCGTGCAAATCACTCCACCTGACAGGAAAGCGAAATAACTTGGGTTTTCCCTCAGACTTTTGAAGCAAGGCGACGACGTGAGATGCCTTACTTAAATGCTTCCCAAATTGGAACGAAGTTGAGAAAAACGTATATCTGACTTAAGAATAAAAAGGGGGCCACCGGTGTTGTAATCATCCTAGTCGGTTTGTCCGAGGGTAGCCAAAAGAAAAAATGGGTTCTTCGCAGCGCCAGTTTGCACAGCTTCCTCTGTTCCTCCTGTTCTTCATCATCATCATGAATTAATTCTTTTGCTGAGCTCAGCTTTTGGCCAGGCTTCTCCGTCAGTGAAGACTTTGTTAAAATCGTGAGGGGAAAAAAGATTTCCCGCCTTTGAAAGGATCCCTCTCTCCAGTCCATTTTCCATTTCAGTCCTTATTTTGCCTGCCTTTCGTTCATTCTCTCTGTCTTTTGAATCAATACTTTCAAACACCTTTTACCGTTTTTTTAATATTCCTCGCCTTGGCTAGCATACTAAATATATATATATATATTTACTAATACAGCCTCATATATGCTGTCAATTGTCTCTTGTTAATAGGCAGTTCCTATTGGGAAAATATCACACTGTCACCATTGAGTGTTTGTGTGTGTGTGTATATATATATATATATGTATATGTTTTCTTTCCTTTTCGTAGGCTTTATGTGTATTTCTCTTTAGCCAGGTTCTTCCTACGTAAACCAAGATTTTTATGCAGCCCTAGTTCAGTGAAATCACAATCCACTAGTTTCTAGGCTTTTTTTTCTGGCAGCCAGCAAACACTCTGCTACCCATTGGGAGACTAAGGAAACTAAGATAGAAATAGTCAGAAATAGATCTATCTTAGTGTTTGCTGGCTGCCAGGAAAAATAAAAAAAAAAACTCTAGAAACTAGTGGATTGGGATTTCACTGAACTAGGGCTGCATAAAAATCTTGGTTTACATAGGAAGAACCTGGCTAAAGATATATATGTATGTATGTATGTATGTATGTATGTATGTATGTATGTATGTATATATATATAAAAAAATCTCGGGTGTTTTCCCGCGTCATTGTAAATAAGTTGGTTAAAATATTTAAAATCCTGATTAAAATCCCAGCTTTTAAAGTCACTGGTAGGATTTTAGCTGGGGTTTTAAAGGACCTTGCAGAGTGCTCTGTAAGGATTTTTAGAAGATTTCAAGCTGGGATTTTAAATATTTTAACCAACTTATTTATAATGACGCGGGAAAACACCCGAGATTTTAATTTTTTGCATATGCACACCCGCGAAAACTTAAGAAGACGTATATATATATAAAACAGTTGCCTCTGCTCATTCTACTCGGCAAGGTGAGAAAAGTTAGGATCTATTTGGCTTCACAGTCAATGGCTTTGACTAACCTATCAACCACAGTGTTGTTTTGAGCACAGCTATCAGCCAAGAAAAGCTGTATTTTTATGTCTCCCCCTTTGTCATCCTTCACTTAATGGGCTTTCGTTGTTATTGAACTGAAGTACTTCTGGAAGGGAATATTTATATCTCAGGGTCCTTGGTGCTCTCTGAGCTTGGTGCTTTTCTTGCAGACGTTTCATGGCCCTACTACGTAACGTCATCGGTATCAATAGGGAGTGGGGTTTGCAGATAGGAGGAGAAATGGGGTCCTTGGTGCTTTCTGAGCTTTGCTATTTGCTTGCAGACATTTCATTAGCCTACTAGGTAACAACAATACCCAAATATCTTTTCAACAGCAATCAATGCCCAGATAAATTGAGAGTAACACCAAGATTAGCACTAGACTAGGCCAACAATCAAGAAGTCAACAATCAAGGTACTACCAACTCAGACAAATAAGCCAACAGTAAACAACAGCCCAATCTAAGTACCACCAAGAACACTCCCGCCAACAGTGACCGGGCAGGACACTAGTATATCAACCAGTGGTGAAATCCAAATTTTTTTACTACCGGTTCTGTGGATGTGTCTTGGTGGGCATGGCGGTGGAAGGATAGTGCAAAATCTCCATTCCCACCCACTCCTGGGGAAGGATATTGCAAAATCTCCAATCCCTCCTCACTCCTGGGGAAGGATATGCAAAATCTCCTTTCCCACCCCACTCCTGGGGAAGGATATTGCAAAATCTCCATTCCCTCCTCACTCCTGGGGAAGGATATGCAAAATCTCCATTCCCACTCACTCCTAGGGAAGGATATTGCAAAATCTCCATTCTCTCCTCACTCCTGGGGAAGGATATTGCAAAATCTCCATTCCCACCCTCTCCTGGGGAAGGATATTGCAAAATCTCCATTCCCTCCTCACTCCTGGGGAAGGATATTGCAAAATCTCCATTCCCACTCACTCCTGGGGAAGGATATTGCAAAATCTCCATTCCCACTCACTCCTGGGGCCAATCAGAGGTGGTATTTGCCACTTCTCCAAACTACTCAAAATTTCCACTACCAGTTCTCCAGAACCTGTCAGAACCTGCTGGATTTCACCCCTGACATCAACCGAGAGCAAACCCCACTTCCTTCTAACACTTGATGACGTTACCTAATTGGGTCATGAAATGCCTGCAAGGAAACCACCCAGCTCAAGAGAGCACCAAGGACGCCACGGGCACTAAAAGATCAAGTCTTGTACTACAAAGGCAGTTCTTCAAACATGGAAGAAGAAGAGGACCCGTACTTTGAGGGTCCATGCTTAGAAGAAGACAGGTTGCACGAGCCGAGGGTTCCGTCAATATCAATTTTGCATGCCGTCGTAATGCAAGAATCATCTTAATTTCTGCTGCTCCTACAAACCTGTGTGCCTCTCTCGGTTCAGCCCAGCAGGTGCCTGCAGTTGCAGATCGGGGGCTTCCATGGGCGTGGTGACTATGGAAGGCCCCCTGAGAAGAAAGACGTTGCTGAAGGAAGGCCGGAAGCCTACGGTAACCACATCAAATACGCTTTGGACTGTAGCAAAAGCAAAACCCTGGGCAAGAAGTGTCTCCTTTTCAGTTTCAATCAACACAGCAATATTGGTAGCTCCTTAAATTAGTGAGATTGAGAAATTGATGATGGGTGGAATAGTAAGCCTAGCTGTACCAAGAGAGGAGAAATGGTGTAGCTCCACGTTGAAATGAAGAGTCCTTGGGGGTCACGTGATTGTTTTCTTTTTTTTTCTTTTTTTTCTTTTAATTTGATTTATATGCCGCCCTTCTCCGGAGACTCAGGGCGGCTTACAATGCGTTAAGCAATAGCCTTCATCCTTTTGTATATTTATACAAAGTCAGCTTATTGCCCCCACAAACTGGGTCCTCAATTTACCTACCTTAGAAAGGATGGAAGGCTGAGTCAACCTTGAGCTTGGTAAGATTCGAACCTGCAGTAATTGCAGGCAGCTGTGTTAATAACAGGGTGCTTTAAACCACTGTACTACCAAGGCTCCTTCTTACAGACGCTTCATGACCAGCGTAGATAACATCATCAGTGCTACCCGTCACTGCTAGCGCTGATGATGTTATCTACAGCAGTGGCCAAAATTGTGGAAACCTTTTGGGGAAAGTGTATTTTTGAAGATTGATGGCTAATTACACCACTTTTTTTTTTTTTTTTTTTTTGGGAGATTCAAGACAATCATATTCCACTGCTAGAATAGCCCAGACCTTAATCCAATTGAATATCTATGGAGCCAACTAAAGAAACTTGGGTTAGTCAGAAGCGACCCAGCAATAAAACCCAGTTAATAGAAGCCATCGTTCAATCTTGGTTTCACATGATAACAGCTGCAGAACTCAAAGACTTGGTTCACTCCATGGGAAGACATTATAAGGCCATAATTCATGCTAAAGGTTACCCAACGAAGGATTAACTGACATGGGGATCATTTTTGCAGATCTCGTTTTTTTCTACGTGTTTCTCTTGTCTTCTTTATCCTGTAAGTGCTATTCTAATAGCAAATCCTTCATAAAAGTGATTGCATGACATTCTCAATTAAATTATCTTTCCATTGATATATAATTTTATAGGACTACTCCCCCCCCCAAAAAAAGTGGTTTATTAGCTAGTTTTAGAAAATACACTTTTCCCCAAGAGGATTCCACAATTTTGGCCACTTCTGTAGTTGGATAAGGAAACATCTGCAAGGAATCAATTAAGGTCCAAAGAGCACGAAGGACCCTTATCTGCCCTTATAATTGTTGTACGTGAACTTTGGGTGAAATAAACAGTGAGGAAAGATACACGAACTCTCTTCTTTTTTTCCCCATGTTTTGATTTTTTTTAAAAAAGGAGCGATGGGGACACCGGCAGCTCTTTTCCAACCTTTTTGTGGCGGGGGACAAAACGCTAAAAAGAGCATAGGAAAAACCACTGGAAAAAAATGAAACTTGAACGTGGTTGACTGTTTTTAGTCTTTCCTGATTTCAAGCGCTTCCTTCATGGCAGCGTTTTTGCCCTGAAGGTTCAACGTTTCAAAACGGAGCTTTGATAAATTTCCCAGTTTCGGCTGAACAGAGCGAGAGAGGAACCTGGTCATAAGTAAATTACAGGAAGGAAGTCCTTGACTTCCAACTGCAACGGAGCCCCAGATTTCGGTTGCTCAGAATGTTACTTGACATTTGTCAAGGGAGTTTTCCCCCTCATTTTACGACCTTCCTTGCCGTAGTGAACCTCTGCAGTTGTTAAATTAATAACACAGTTGTTAAGTGAATCCATACACACACACCCCTGGGACACTGCAACCGTCAGTAACTTCAAACCGACACTTCAAACGGACACTAAACAAACTCTTGTTAAGTTGAGGGCTTTTGTAAGGGGAAAGCTTTGGCTTTTACAATTCCCTTTCTTTTTTTTCCAGCTGTCTTCCTGGACCAGATACTGGATTACTCTCTCGGGATCCACTCTGATCTATTTCGGAGCCAAGTCCTTAAGGGGCAGCGAGAGGAAGCACGTAAGCTAAAACGGGGATTATGAGTTTGGGAGATGCGTTAGTGGACGAGGATTTTGGGGGGGGGGCATGTCGCAGCCCCTCCCAAGGGAAATTGTTCTGACCTAGACTTCCTTAGAAATTAAACAGCACAAACGTAATCCCGGCAAACTTCTTTAATTCATACGGCTGTAAATTACTTTCATTTACAGTCCGCAAGGCTTGATAAACAGTCTGTCAGAGGAAGGTTATCAACACCCACCTATCTCACATGGAAAGAGCTAATTTCCAGACGCAGGGCGAGGCCAAACTTGGCACAGAGTCACAAACAGAATTTTCAAATTTTGAATCGGCCAGATGAACTAATTGCTTCCTGCAAAACCTCACGTCCCGTTCGCTTCCCTTTTATGTCTTATGGGAGGGGCCAATCATCTCCAAGCCTTACTCCCAAGTCGACCCTGTTTCCTTAATTGTTCCTGTCTCCTGGCAGCTCTGCGCATGCGCACACTGGGAACAGGCTCACGCTGTTCTTCTGCCTCCTAATGTCAGACTCAGGAGGCAGCAAAGAACTACCAGATGGCCCTGGCCCCCTCTCTGCCTCTGATGCAAAGCCCTCGTCCGAGCCTTCCCCAGATTCCAGGACTGGTCCACGTTCCTCCCCAACCTCCTCACTGTCCGAATCTGCTGCCAGCTCTGCTGGCTGCTGGCGGGCCACAACAGAAATTCCCACTTCCTGGATGGTAGCCAGAGACATCTAATCGGGTATTTTTATTTGACTTTCCGTTTCACAGTATAAATCGACTCCTGGAAAAAAAGTTTCCATTGTGGGCTGGATGGTAGCCCTTCCTGATGATCCTGAACATCCTGATATTTTTCAGCTGAACAACCCAGATAAAGGTAAGCCCTTGTAGTGAGGCTTAGAGAGTGAGGTTGCGCTGAGCAACAAATAAGCAAGACCACATTTTTTTATTATTATTATTTTTAAAGAATCCTAGAAGTGGAGCTGTTGAATCAAAGCTCCATGAAAACTTTTCACGAGGCTTTAGCCTCAATTAAAAAAGAAATAGCTATAGAACATTTGTAGCTCGGGGGTTGAATCTCGGGCTCCTTGGTGCTCCCTGAGCTTGGTTGATATCGACCATGCTCAGAGAGAAAAGAAGGCCTGGGAGTGACATGATAGCAGTCTTCTAGTAGTTGAGGGTGGCTAGTATGGGATGGCAGTGGCTCAGCATCTTAGCCACTGAGCTTGTCGATCAAAAGGTCAGCAGGTCAGCGGTTCGAATCCCTGGTGCTGCGTAACGGGGTGAGCTCCCGTTGCTTGTCCCAGCTTCTGCCAACCTAGCAGTTCGAAAGCACGTAAAAAATGCAAGTAGAAAAATAGGGACCACCTTTGATTGGAAGGTAACAGCATTCCGTGCGCCCTTGGCATTGAGTCATGCCAGCCACATGACTCAACGGAGACGTCTTCGGACAGCTCTAGCTCTTCGGCTTTGAAACGGAGATGAGCACCACCCCCTAGAGTCGGGAACGACTAGCACGTATGTGCGAGAGGAACCTTTACCTTTAGCATTTGAGGGGCTGCCACAAAGAAGAGAGGGTCAACTTATTTTCCAAAGCACCAGAAGGCAGGACAAGAAACAGTGGATGGAAACTCACTAAAGAGAGAAGCAACCTAGAACTAAGGAGGAATTTCTGAACAGTGAGATCAATTAACTTGCCTTCAGAAGTTGTGAGTGCTCCATCACTGGAGGCTTTTAAAGCTGGATAGCCATTTGTCTGAAATGGTCTAGGTTCTCCTGCTTGGGCAAGGGGTTGGATTAGAAGACTTCATAGGTCCCTTCCAATTCTGTTATTCTGTAAACTCCGGTGCTTGTTCCCTTTCTTTTACTCTTCAGTTGATCATGCTATTTGTCTGGAATAGAATAGGGTCCCCGACTTGAGTAGAGGATTGGACTAGAAGACTATTATGATTGACTGATCATATTAATCATAAGGATGGGGATGTTTTTACATTCAAGATGCCATTCTTTAGTGCTGTTGTTGCTAGCAAATCACAAAGACCTTGGTTCTTTTTTTTTCTCTCTCTCTCTTTTTAAAAAACTCTGCAGGCAATGTTTACAAGTTCCAGACCGGCTCCAGGTTTCACGCAATATTGTGGCACAAACATTTGGATGATGCCTGCAGAAGCAACAGGCCTCAGGTAGCCCGTCTTCTACTTGATTTTAAGCGAATTGTCAGCGAAACAGTGGAGATGTTTTGCTCACTGGGTTAGAGTGTCTACAAACCTTCCTGAGAATTTTTTTTTTTAATCCAGGTTCATTTGTTCCCATTTCCCATTGTGTAGGTCAATCTCTAGCCCAAAAACAGAGAGAAAAATGAGAAGGAGAACCAAAAACATTGTGGTGTTTCTTAGATGTAGGTGAAGTCCAGGAGATACATGAAGTTCCGTATTTTTCGGAGTATAAGACGCACCTACCTTTTTTGGTGAGGAAAAGAAGAAAAAGAAATCTGCCTCTGCCTCTGAGCAATTTTGCTTCCTTGCAGCCAACAGCCAACGGCCTGCTTTACTTTCAGCATAACTTGATTAGCACAAGGAAAAAAAAAATCTGCTCTAGCAATTTACCTCTTTGCAGCAAATAGCAGAGCCCTGCGCAAACCAGCTGAGAGTCGGGAGGCAGATCCAATTAACTTATGCTGAAGCTGAAAAGAGCTGTTTTTTCTTGCTGTTTGCTTGCAAGGCGGTAACTGCTGTGAAGCAGAGGCCAAAGGGAGGGAGGGGTAGTGGGTGGGCGGGGCTTCATTCGATGTATAAGACGCACCTAAATTTTCACCCCCTTTTAGGGGGGAAAAAGGTGCGTCTTACACTCCGAAAAATACGGTAAACTTTGGATTCTTCACCTTGCTAAATCCAGAAACAAGATAGTATTGGATTGAAGTCATACCTGCTTAACCTCAAGCACTGATGCTGATTAGGACAAACATTTGTGATTGGTTCATCTCATGCATCAATCCTCATAGGTAACTTGAGCTGGACCAATCACAAATGATGGTCCTGGTCTTCATCAGTGGTTGCACTGGTAGGGCAGTTAAGTAGATAAGGCTGGATGCATAGTGCTAAGCAGCTCTAAATTTTTGTAATCCAAAAGATTGTAACCCAAAGGTTTACAAACAAATTTTGGGATTAAGCTGTTTCTTGTTTTTAATTCTACTCTAAAGGGTGGCCAAAGCTGTAATAAATAGATTTGATTTGACTTGACTTGACTTTTACTTACCTTGCCTTGCCTTGGCATGACTTGACTTTGACTTGACTTGACTTTTTACTTGACCTTTACTTGGCTTGACATAACTTGACTTTTCCTTGATTTCTTCTTGACTTGACTTTGACTTGACTTTCATTTGGGTTGACATGACTCTGATTTGATTTATACTTGACTTCTTGACTTGACTGACTTGAGTTGACTTGACTTTTACTTGACTTATACTTGACTTAACCTGACCTACTTGACTTGACTTTTATTTGACTTTGAGTTGGGTTGACTTGACTTTGACTTGACTTCTTGACTTGACCTTGATTTTGACTTGACTTTACTTCTCGACTTGACTTCTAGTTTACTTAACTTGACTTCGACTTGACTTGATTTTGACTTGACTTCTCCTTGATTTGACTTTCACTTGGGTTGACTTGACTTTGACTTGACTTATACTTGAGTTCTTGACTTGACTTGTATTTGACTTTAACTGAAATTGACTTGGCTTTTGCTTGACTTTTACTGGGTTGACTTGACTTTTACTTGACAGCTTAACTTTTACTTGGCTTGGCTTGACTTATACTTGACTTCTTTTTGGTGACTTGACATACTTGACTTATGCTTGACTTCTTTGCTTGACTTTTACTTCACTTGACTTGAATTTTACTGGACTTCTTCTTGACTTGACTTTTTTTTTTTTATTTGATATATATGCCGCCCTTCTCCGGAGACTCAGGGCGGCTTACAATGCGTTAAGCAATAGCCTTCATACTTTTGTATATTTTTATACAAAGTCAGCTTATTGCCCCCACAATCTGGGTCCTCATTTTACCTACCTTAGAAAGGATGGAAGGCTGAGTCAACCTTGAGCTTCTTGACTTGACTTTGACTTCTTCTTGACTTGACTTCTTCTTGACTTGACTTGACTTGAATTCTTCTTGACTTGACTTTGACATGACTTGACTTGACTTCTTCTTGACTTGACTTTGACTTGACTTGACTTTGACTTCTCTTGACTTGCTTTGACTTCTTCCTTGACTTGACTTTGACTTGACTTGACTTTGACTTCTTCTTGACTTGACTTTGACTTTGGTTGACTTGATTTTTATTTGACTTGACTTCTGTTTGACTTGACTTTTACTTGACTTTTTCTTTACTTGACTTGTCTTGACTTTTACTTGACTTGAAGAGGTTTCTTGCGAGGATCTTCCATCCATGGGCCATTTATCCAGAACTTTTCATTAACTACCATATTTTTCCTTGATGTTCCAGGTACCTGCAAACCTTATGTCATTTGAGTAACCTGCTCCAGTGTGCGGTATAACGTCCAGTGCCAAACTACAAGATGGGAAGATGGGTTTCCATTGAAGCAAGGAGGAAAGACTTCAGAGCAAACCAGCTGTCTCCCACAGCGACTTCAGCACTTTTCTATGTTAACTTGAAAGTAATTATGATACAGCTTCTAGAAACAGAAATGTGAATGTTATCCTTGGGACAGGATCTAACTCACTGCACTGATGAAAGAGAGGATTTGGTCTGTTTGGAGATGCAGCCTGACCCATCACAGGATCGTTGGGTCCTTAACTCTAGCCGTGGAGGTCCCGACGGCTGTGGATTTTTGTCCTGCCACAAATTTATCTGTCACATCTCTGCAGATGTTTTTTTTTTTTAACTGCTCTTTTTACGGTCAAGCTGCTTTATGTGACTCAAGAACTTTTAGCCCATGTTGGGTTTACAGTTATTTCTAATGCACAAAACAACAAACATTTGACAGTGTTAACTTGCTGCAGAGTGTCAATTAGAATAGAAACGTTGTGAAACGACATTTTTTTATAACCTTAAGTGCACTGAGCTGCTTCACCCTGTGGCTGCCTCAGATTTTTGTATCAAACGTAGGGATGCGACCGACGTCCCGAACCGAAGCTATTTGGGAAATGTGTATTTTGGCACAAGATAAAAATATCACCTGTGATTTTTTTTTTCCTGTTTGTAACTCATAATTAATTGTGCTGTATTTTGTGGTGGTTGTTTTGTTTTGTTTTGTTTTTTAAATTAACTGGAGGTACCCCTGGCAACAAAGGGACTAATTGCTACTGTAATACGCTCGGTTTTAAGGCTCCTTAACTTCATCCCAAAGGAAAGATTTGCCTTCAATTGTGTGGCTTGGGGGCTGTTCATCCAAAATGTCCCACTGGGTGAGCTTCTCCTACATCCCCCGCCCCCCAGGGCTGGTTTTAGAACTTCCCAATCCCAGAAAAGCTTTTGTGGAGGGGAAAGTATTAATGAGGACTCTCCTTCCCCTGTTTCTCCTAAAAGAGAGAAGGTTTTCACCGAACCCAAATCCCATTCTACCCAGCCAGAAAGTCAAGTGTTCTTTGGAGCAAGCTAGAATAGCCAAAATGTCCCCCGTTACTTGATTGCCCAACCATGCCTTGCAACGAAGTCATGAGCTGCTTCGTGGCATCTTGGGGGGGGGGCAGCCAAATGACCCAGCTTCTTAATCCAGATGTGGGGAAGCCAATGGTCATTTTGGATAAACAGTGCCCTTGGCTTGAAAGTCCGGCGTACTTCAAGAGCGTGCCAGTTACCAATCTGGCTGGATCTTGGTTCTCTTCCAAGCCGTTGTTTACTTTACGTGTATGCTTAATGTCTTCGCCGTTAATGATTGTAGTGCATTTTTTAAGCGTCACGCCGTATTGTCTATCCCCTGTTCCTAAGAGCGAAGGAAGGTAAGAGAAATTCTTGGATTTGGACAGGAAATGAGAACACATGTCTCAGCCCCTGGCATTTCCCCACCCCCCACCCCCCAAATCCTTGTTTTCTCTTGGGGTGAAATTCTTGGAAGCCATTCCAACAAATTGGGGGGGTTACAAGTTAGGTAGTTGCTGTAGAGTTTCAGGATGGGCAAATTTCTGGTTGATCATCCCGATGTAGCATCCATCGCGATTTCTGAATGTCTGCAATCCAGAATAATTATTCCAGAGAACTCGGGATTTTCTGTCAGATGGCTTAATAACACCTCTGTGTAGGAGGATGCACCATTCGCCTGGAGCCTTTAAAAAGCTGCATAATGACCAGTAAAAATCTGGCTTCCAACCCCATTAACCCAGCTAGGAAATGAATTGCATCTAGCAAATTTGGGCTCCAAATTGCATGAATCCCCTTTTTACAACTGTGCTAAATTTCACTTATCTCCCTTTATTTATTCATTTTTTAAATAAGCTGCTGAAACACCTTCTGAGAAGCAGTCAAGCAAACAAGAAACTTTTCTCTGTTATGAAAAACCGATTTGCAACAAAAGGGAATCGTGTTTATATATATATATAAAAACAGAGGGTTGAGACTGATGGGACTATTAGCAAGCTGCTCAAAGGGTGTGACACCAGCATTCAAATGCAATGCAGCATTTGGTCCAAAGGGAAAAAAAATTGGTACAAAAATGAAACCTGTTGCTTAGAGAGTAAAATACAGACAGCGGACTCCTTTCTTAAAAAAAAAAAAAATCAAGTTTTTAATTCCTATTTACACCGAGGATTGGACTAGTGCAATAAAATTAACCCGATTCATAAACTTTCTGGTTTGGTGATTAGCAAGTTAATTAAAGTTAAATGACTAATGGCAGCAGCCCAAGCCAGACATCGTTTTAAGTCAAGAAAAGAGGTGCTTTTTAATGAAATCCTTTTGAAAGGACGCGATAGCAGTTTCCTATGTTCGCACCCACCCCCCAACCATGCAAAGACTAAGCAAATCTATGAAATTGTACGTGTGCTGAATTTTAAGTTAGTCTGACTTCCAGAAACGAAGTTCAGGATTTGATTGTCAAAAGCTTTCAGAACAAACAAAAAAATTATTATTGATTTACTGGGTGAGAACGAGGAAGGGGGGAATCCCCCCTCCCACTCTAAAAATATCCTTGTCTTAAAAAGGAGGAAGTACAAGTATAGCTCCGTTCTCACCAACCTCCGTCATTTTCGTTCGTCACCTTCCTGTGAAAATTTTTCAGGACTGGAAATTGCTAGTTTTTGTTTTTTTTTGTTTTTCTTTTTAAATGACATTGGAAAATGCGCTTGTTTCGGCGTGCCCAAGTAGACACACTTCTCCATTGTTAACGAAAGAAACTTGCAGGTGTTTGCAGAGAGAATGAATGCCAAAATCTTGAAAGTCCCTCTGTATTTGGAATGTAGGAAACTGGTTTTCACTTACTTTTTTTTTTAATTAATCATTAAAAGAAAAAGAAAAAAAGAAAAAAGAACCAGTGTTGCAAAAGGAAGGTTTGCCATGGGTTTTTTTTGACTTTGGTAGAGCGATATTAAGTAAGCACTGTGGCTCACAGCCCGGAGAAAACTGTACAGTAAAGACGGAGTGACATGGTGTTTCGTTCAGCAATACAGGCAGCAGGGTGGTTTGAAAAATGTGAAATAAATGAGTAATAGAACAGTGTCTTCTTCTTTCTTCTTCTTCTTCTTCCTCCTCCTCCTCCTCCTCCTCCTCTTCTTCTTCTTCTTCTTCTTCGTCTTCTTCTTCTTCTTAGCATAATCCACGTTTAAATGGTAATTGTCCTATGAAAAGCATGAGGATTCTATAGCTTTTTTTTTAAACTTTTTTTATTGTGCATCTTTGACTGTGAATTAAGCAGGTGCAAATTGATACTATTGGGTCTCCCCCAGAAAAGCCCTCCTCATCCAAAGCCCCCCCCACATATCTGTCCAATGACGGGTAGGGCCAAAGCTCGGTAAATGTGAAGTTTTCCACTTTGGGAAAGGACCTTCCGAGCTGGCGTTCGATGAGATGGGCATCACAAGAGGGAAAGGACAAGTGGCGAGATCCACTAAGGAGGTACTATATGGCTACTACCGCACGTGTGAAAAGAGTACTTTCACACACATACACCCATCTCTGTTGAAGCTCCTTCAACCAGAGACGTCGTCTTGGCAGCCCGGGTGAAGCGAAACGGGTTGAGGTCGAAGTTGCCTTCGGTTGAAGGAATGGAGATGGGCGCGCATGTGTGGACATATCTGTGCTCCAAGGGAGGTTATTTTATTTTTATTTTTATTTTTGCCTTTGAAACCTGACCTACCCTGTCCAGCCCGGGACAAGTCGCTCTTTTGGGACTGACCGCCGTTTAGCCACTTTTGGGGGGGAAAAACGGTCCCCGTCCATCGATTTCCACGACGACAATCCATGTAGCAGCGTATCGAGGCAACATTCGTTCTTCTTAATTTATTAGCTCGTGTAAACCTAGTGCCAAAAATGCATGGTGGATTGGTTTTTCTGGTTTTTTTTTTTTTTTCCAAGTAGCACTCGATGGATGCAGAAACCAGAAGTGTCTGGTTTTCAGCCGTATTGGCCTTTGTGGTTTCTAGATTTTTGGTTTCATTTTCCTCGGTGAGACCTAGTTGCACTATTTTAATTTATTTTTTTTTCCCCCACGTTCCTTTCAGCCATATTTCCAGCGGTCCACTGCATGGCATTTTATTGTAAAGGCCTTTTCTCTCTCCCACGCCTTGTGAATTTGTCTCCTTCCGGATGAAACTACGGATGTTTTTTCACCCTCCTGTGGAAGTCTTTTTTTTAAGTTTGTTTTTTGTTTTTTGTTGTTTTTTTTTTTCTTCTTCTTCTGGCAAAGTATTTTGTTACCTCAGTCTTCTATCGGGTTGCTGTATTTTTCAGCTTGTTACATTGATAATAACTGTTTCACTAAATAAAGCAAAAACTTTAATGTAAAAAAAAATAATAAATGGCTCGGGTGTTTGTTTGTTTTTTTCTCCTTCTTTGTTCCGATAGAATATAATTCTTTATTGGTCAAGGGTGATTGGACACGTGAGGAATTTGTCCTTAATGCATAACGCTCTTGGAGTACATTTATTTTTATTTTATTTTAATTTGATTTATATGCTGCCCTTCTCCGGAGACTCAGGGCAGCTTACAATGCGTTAAGCAATAGCCTTCATCCTTTTGTATATTTATACAAAGTCAGCTTATTGCCCCCACAATCTGGGTCCTCAATTTACCTACCTTAGAAAGGATGGAAGGCTGAGTCAACCTTGAGCCTGGGGAGATTCGAACTTGCAGTAATTGCAGGCAGCTGAATGTTAATAACAGGCTATTAGTCTGCTGCGCCACCAGGCTCCTCTATACATAAAAGATATATTCGTCAAGAATCATAAGGTACAACACTTAAGGATAGTCATAGGGAACAAACTCTTTGTTCTGATCTGGGAAGGTAAAAAGAATTGTTGATCGATGGTAAAGCTATACAGTTCAGCCTGGCTCCTGCCTGCCCTCCAACCTTCCCAGGGGCTGCCTGGTGGTCCAGAACCCTCAGTCCAGGTTCTAAAACCCTCATGGCACAGGGCCAGGTCCCATTAAGGGCACCTGTGTGCCAGGGAAACATCACCATGCCTTCCCATTGCCTTGCCTTGGCCACCAGGTAGCCTAGTTCCCGGGTTCTCTAGTTCCCTTAGTTCTAGGTTGGTTCATCTAGTTCTCTTAGTTCTGGGTTCGTTCTCACATTCTCTTAGTTCTAGGTTGGTTCTATAGTTCTCTTAGTTCTAGGTTGGTTCATCTAGTTCTCTTAGTTCTAGGTTGGTTCTCTAGTTCTCTTAGTTCTGAGTTGGTTCTCTAGTTCTCTTAGTTCTAGGTTGGTTCTCTAGTTCTCTTAGTTCTAGGTTGGTTCTCTAGTTCTCTTAGTTCTGGGTTGGTTCTCTTGTTCTCTTAGTTCTAGGTTGGTTCTCTAGTTCTCTTAGTTCTGGCTTGGTTCTCTAGTTCTCTTAGTTCTAGGTTGGTTCTCTTGTTCTCTTAGTTCTAGGTTGGTTCTCTAGTTCTCTTAGTTCTGGGTTCGTTCTCACATTCTCTTAGTTCTAGGTTGGTTCTCTAGTTCTCTTAGTTCTGGGTTGGTTCTCTAGTTCTCTTAGTTCTGGGTTGGTTCTCTAGTTCCCTTAGTTCTAGGTTGGTTCTCTAGTTCTCTTAGTTCTAGGTTGGTTCTCACATTCTCTTAGTTCTAGGTTGGTTCTCTAGTTCTCTTAGTTCTAGGTTCGTTCTCACATTCTCTTAGTTCTAGGTTGGTTCTCTAGTTCTCTTAGTTCTGGGTTGGTTCTCTAGTTCTCTTAGTTCTACCCTGGTTCCCCCAAAATAAGACCTCCCCTGATAATAAGCCCAATCGGGCTTTTGAGCGCATGGCAATAAGGCCAAGCGCTTATTTCAGGGTTCAAAAAAATATAAGACAGGGTCTCATTTTCGGGGCAACACGGTAGGTTGGTTCTCTAGATCTCTTAGTTCTAGGTTGGATCTCTCCGTGATTTTTCCCTCTCCCCCGAGTTCGTGCGTCCCGGCCCACCTATCCATACCTCCCAACGTCTAACAAAACACCCACAGGCAAACACAGAGACACAGAAAACACTCACAAATGCCAGGCATTGACCACAAAACAAAAGAGCACGCAAAAGATAAACCAGCCTACACCTCCCCTTCATCTACCTGAACAGGGATCATTCCCCTCCCACCAGCTACCTAGCTAGAGCAAAGGGATAAAAAACCTGAAACTCGGTTGTCACCAGAGGGCTCGGAAGCTCTGTTTCCCTTTGCTCAGAGCCCAGGTAAATTCAAATTTTTGCTCCTCCTGCGCCACCTAACAAGACGATTAGGAAAGAATCTCAGAAGCCGAAGAGGGAGCTGACTCACTCCTTGCTGTGGTGAGAGAGGCTGATCGAGAGAGACGCACGCCGAGCCACAGAAGATGAAAAGGCTGCCAGCTTCTTGAAGCAATGTGAGTAGGTGAGTTTTTGCCAGCTTGCTGTGTATCTGTTGTGGCCCGCCAGCGGCCTGCGTGGATCGTGCCTGATTCCGATGAAAAGGAGGGTGATGTGGGGTTGCTCCAGCAGCCTGCACAGCCGGTGCTCACGTCGGACAGCGAGGAGGCTGAAGAGGATGTGTTGCCAGAGGCAGAGTCTCAGCCAGGGTCTTCAGAACCTCCAGAGGCTCCTTCCGGTGGAGAGAGCGAAGTGGAGGAGCCTCTCCTCAATGCTCGGGCATGCAGGGCTGCCAAAAGGCAGGAGTGACTACTCAGGAGGAGGAGGTCTCCTCGTGAGTAGGGCTTGAGGATAATTGGCCACCCCCTTAGCCTATTTAAGTCGCACGCAGCTAGTGCGTTCTTGCTGGAAACAACTCGTATTATTATCAGAGTATTTTGGTTTATCGTATCTTTTTTTTTTTTTATTAAAAAGTTTTATCAAAGATGCGCTTTCTGCGCTTCGAGAAATATTAACACTGCAGGGACTTGGTTGTTCTTCCCCAGATACTCTTGTTGCTATTATTTCTTTCATATAGGCCCAATAATCAGGATGCAAGTCATGAGAATATAAACAGTATTTCTTTGTTTCTATTACAGGAGAACATCTGGCAAGCAAATAAGCAGTCCAGGACATCAGTATATATACACAGTAGGAGGAGTCAAAGGTAAGGAGGAGTCAGTGGGAGGGACAATTGATGTATTAATGATTAACCCTTACATGGCTTTAAGTATGTACATATAGTTAGGTATTTTCCATGTGTAACAAATCCCCCTCTAAAATACCTAACGGTTATCAATATTACAATTTATATACATATATTCAATTTCGAAGTTAGATAAGCGTGTTGTTTAACTGGTAAAGGTTTTGTTAAAATGTCTGCAACCTGTTCACTCGTATCACAATGAATAGCTTTAATAAATCCTATATTAGATAGCTGTCTGACATGATTATATTTTATATCTATATGGCGCAACTCTGGCCTATTGCTTCAGAAGTTGAAATTTCTATGGCAGCTGTATTGTCTTCATGGATGGTTATGGGATAATTGGGTTCAGACCAGATGTTAGATAGCAGATCGTCAAACCACATTAAATTATTGGCCGCTTTTGGTAGACAAATATATTCAGCTTCAGCTGTGGAGGTTGCAATTAAATTTTGTTTACCTACGGGACAATTGTTTATAAGAAAGACATAACCAGATGTGCTTTTTCTACTCTTTGAATCTCCGGCCCAATTCGCATCAGCATAGCATGACAGAATAGGTTTTTCTGAATGTACAGGTTCTAAGTATAAACAAACATCAGTGGTGAATTTTAGATATCTAAGGACCCTTTTAACCCTTCCCAATGATATGTATTAGGATTGCTTACGTGTCTGGACAGAAGGTTAACAGCAAGAGTGATATCAGGCCTAGTCCAATTAGAAATATATAGTAATGAACCAATGACTGATCTGTACAAAGTATTGTCTTTAAATGGATCACCTTCGTTATTCATGTTCTTTATAAAATCAGCTTGCATGGGAGACTCACATGGTTTCGAATCAATCATATTGCATTTTTGTAAAAGCTCTAATATTTTTTCTTTTTGAGATAATTTGAATCCCCCTTTGGTCTTGTCAATTTGAACAGCTAAATATTTATTTACTTTCCCCAAGGTTTTCAATGTAAAATGTTTGCCCAGTTTTTCAGCGAATTCATCACATTCATGTTTTCGTTGCCCATAGTATAGAATGTCATCAACATATATGAGTACATACTCTATGGAATTTTCCCCCTTTTTGATAAAAAAGCATAAATCTGCGGATGTGGCTGAAAAACCCATTTCTCTAAGTATCTTTGCCAAACACTCATACCATCTTTTTCCGGATTGCTTTAATCCGTACAAGCTTTTGTTTAATAACCAAGTTTCTCCTTTCTGTATATTATTTCCGGGGGGGTGCCTTCACATATATTTCTTTGTCACCTAGTACATATGAGGAAATACTAAAATTACCATAAGAGGAGAAGATAAAGTGGGAACAAGCAATGGAAAGGGAGATGGATAGCTTAAAGGAATTATTTTATTTATTTTTTTATTTTTATTTGATTTATATGCCGCCCTTCTCCGGAGACTCAGGGCGGCTTACAATGCGTTAAGCAATAGCCTTCATCCTTTTGTATATTTATACAAAGTCAGCTTATTGCCCCCACAAACTGGGTCCTCATTTAACCTACCTTAGAAAGGATGGAAGGCTGAGTCAACCTTGAGCCTGGTGAGATTCGAACCTGCAGAAATTGCAGGCAGCTGTGTTAATAACAGGGTGCATTAAACCACTGTACTACCAAGGCTCCTTAAATGTATATACACACACAAAACCATCTGCAGGTAAAACCCCATAGCCATATCTACCGAAGTCATCAACTATGGTCAGGAAGTATCTTTTTCTATACTTAATTGATGGTTTCATGGGACCAACTAGGTCCATATGTACCAGTTGGAAGACTGAATGTGTGGTGCGTGTGGCTTTTCTTGGCCTAGGTTTGTTTTTGAGTTTTGAAGATTTGCACACAGAACATTCTAAATAATTTTTACAATTTTTTACTTTTACATCATCAGAAACATTCTAACATTTTTTGAATAACAGGGAAACTGGCATGTCCCAGCTTTCTATGGAGTAAATCTGCGCACTTATCATGCATTGGCTTACCATTGGATATTTTCTCAATAGAAACATCATCATTAATGTGGTCATTTTTCATGTCATATTCAATACCTCCATGATTACCTGTCTTACATTTTTTGTTTCCTGACAGTATGTTTGTGTGTGCTCCTTCATCATTTTTTGGGTGAAAGTATGTCAATCCTTCTTTGGTAACAATATTTCCTATATCCCTTTTGTTTTTAGTCATATACACGTTTCCATTTTTGAATGTAATTTCTATCTCCTTTTCTTCACTTAATTTAAGGGTAGCTAATATATTATGTGGGATTTCGGGAATAAATAATACCCCCTCTATTTTTCCTATGCCTTTGATGTGTGTGTTGCCTATTCCTTTCACTAGGACTTTGTCTTGATTAGCCACTTTAACATGGTAACTCTTTTCTATGAAATCATTGAGTAGTTCCTTATTATTGGTGGTATGGTTAGTGGCTCCAGAGTCAATAAACCATGCGTTACTTGATTCTGTTGGTGTGAGTTTGTTATCTCCTAGTCCATATAATGATCCATGTCTATCCTCCTTATAATTGTCTCTGTAACTTTTTTTATCTTTAGTGATGGATGAATCTCTATGTTTATATCTGTAATCAGGTGAATGTCTGTCTGTGAAGTTAACTCTTCTATCTGTCCTCTCCCTGCGATATGCTTGGTCCCTATTTGTATGTTTTGGACAGTCTCTCATATAATGATTCCTTGAACCGCATGTGTGACATTCTGGTGTATATCTACCTCTGCTTTGGAACTCTACCTTCTTTGTAGTTCTACTTTCCCTGTGGCTCATGGAATGTTCTCTTCTCAGATTATCCTCTGATATGAGTTTGTTAGTAAGTGTTTCCAATGATAGGTTCTCTAAACTGAGACTGTCTAACAGGGTTATATAGTTATCCCAGCTAGAATCTAATGAGTTGATTATAATACTCTTTAAACTTCCTTCTGAAATACTTTCCCCTCTTTGAATAAGCTCAGCTCTGGTGGCAATTAAATTTAGAATATGTTCACTCATGGGTGTTCCACTTTTTAGTCTGGCAGAGTGAAACTCCCTAGAAATCCTGGTTGTTGTGGCAACACTCTTACTGTGAAACAAGTTAAACAATTTTTGAAATATTTCAGAAACAGTTAAGTTGTGTTCAATGCTAGGGTAAAATGCTAGGTGATATAGTGGCAATGAGAATATAATAAGCTTTATGATGTAAACAGTCCAGTTCAAAAGTCCAGGGTTTGCTGGGTGCCTGAGTGGCGTAATGCCTCCTAAGGCAGCATTTAACATCCAGCAGCCTGCAATTACTAAGAGTTTAATTCTCACCAGGCTCAAGGTCAACTCAGCCTTCCATCCTTTCTAAGGTAGGTAAATTGAGGACCCAGTTGTGGGGGCAATAAGCTGACTTTGTATAAATATACAAAAGGATGAAGGCTATTGCTTAACACATTGTAAGCCGCCCTGAGTCTCCGGAGAAGGGCGGCATATAAATCAAATTAAAAAAAATAATAATAACATGTTTTCTCTTAAATATATAACTTGGAGCTGTTGACTCCATTCCAATAAGTTTGATCCATCTAGCTTTAATTTTATAAAGTCTGCTGGTAAAGCCCCTGGGTTGTGTGAAGAATTACTTACAGTCTGTCGCTGTCCATGGTTTAGGTCTTTAGTGAACTCACAATATGGTGTTGGAATGCTAGAGGTATATCTGTGCTGACTTGTGTCTATGTTTTCTGCATTTTTTCTTACAGAGGCGTTCTGCACATGCTCGGATCTCATTTTTCTCCAGCAGTTGCCGAGGAAGGATCCTGTGCTCGCGGCTCTCGGGAGAAGGCTCCATTCTTCAGGATGTTCTTCTGCCTCGACTCTGCGAGGCCTCAAGTAGTCGATGGTCGCCTGTGAGGTTGTTCGAGTCGCCGGGGCATTCCTGCTGCTCTGCTGGTCAACGAAGTCATCGCGGAGGGTCCGGCGGCTCTGTTCCTCTGCACGGCTGCAGAACTGGGCCTGGTCTGGATCATTGCTATCGGAATATATTGACTGCTCAGAGTGATGTCTTCTGATCGGTGAGTATGATCTTTTATTTCTGGGTTCTTGCGAGGTTCGCGAGTGTGCCTGGCAGCTGGTTTCGGTGGGTGGCGGCTTGTAAATCTTTTTGCGTGTGGCGGCTTCTTTTATGTAGTTTAATTCAGTTTGTTGTTTGTTATAGGTAAGTTTAGTGGATTTTTTCTGTTTGTCTGGCTGTGGGTCCGGTAATTTTAGTTTCTTTCCAAATGCCGCGGTTAATACTTGCATGGCATTATTTATTTCTAGTGTGGAAGGCTGGCTAGGTAAATCATCTTTTAATAGTTTATCATTTGTTTCTGTTGTTTGGTAGGTGTTTTTTTCGTAGGGAAAACATCCCGCCTTGGGTTTTGAATTTTGAAATCCCATTGGCTGCTGGTCGGCCATCTTTAATGAGTTAGTCATGCAAGATGGCCACCATGAAAAAGGCGCAAAATCGTCGCCAGCTTCATCATCAGTTATATAGTCAGTATTTGGTTTTCCTACCTCGCTTTCTTCATCTTGACTGGATTCATCTTCCTCCTCATCTGTCGCTGCTCTGTGATTTTCTATGAGATTGCGGAGTTTCGCTAACAGATTTGGATCGTTGGGAATTTCTTCTATCAGATTAATTATTTTCTTTTTCATGTCATCCTCTTTTTTGATGACTGAGGGGGTATCTTCATTTTTGTATTGTTGTTCTTTGATATCTGGCAGTATCTCATTATTGGAAAGTTTCTCTTCTTTCTCTGTCTTTTCTTTCAGTGTGGTTTCTGTAGGAGTTAGTTGAGCTGCCATTCTTTTTTTTGAGTGATCTGGTAATAGGTCTTCTTTTACCTTCATCCAGCTTTGGAGTTTCTTGCATCTTTGGGTTGGTTGGGCCTTTAAACCATCCTCTGCTACCAACTTGTTGCTATTATTTCTTTCATATAGGCCCAATAATCAGGATGCAAGTCATGAGAATATAAACAGTATTTATTTCTTTGTTTCTATTACAGGAGAACATCAGGCAAGCAAATAAGCAGTCCAGGACATCAGTATATATACACAGTAGGAGGAGTCAAAGGTAAGGATTAGTCAGTGGGAGGGACAATTGATGTATTAATGATTAACCTTTACATGGCTTTAAGCATGTACATATAGTTAGGTATTTTCCATGTGTAACAACTCTTAACAGGTTAACAATTTGCCTTACATTACTTTTCATTTGTCTACCACTTATAAAACCGGTTTCGTCATGATGAATCACTTGTTGCATAACTGTCATTAATCTATTTGCTAATATTTTAGCAAAAAACTTGTAATCTGTATTTAAAAGTGATATCGGCCTATAATTTTTTGGATACGTATGATCTTGATCCTCCTTTGGGATCAAGGAAATAAAAGCTGTCTTCCAAGACGGAGGTATCCCTCCTCCAAGTTGTATACTATTAAATAATTGAGTAGCCCAGGCTGCCATTGTGGCAGCGCTACGAGTTGAGTGCGCAGTGATGTTTCTAGGAATTGGAGTAGCTTTGCAAACGGTCCAGCTAGTAGCCGGACCATTTGCAGAGCCCAGGCATCGGTTGTGATGAGTTCCCATTGGGCGGAGAACCTCATGAGGCGGCCTCCAATGGGGACCTGTGACTGGGAGTCATTTGGATCTGCGGTAAGGTCTACCGCTGGCTCCTCGAAAGGGTCTCCTAGACTGGGGCTGTCTGGACCTGTCTCTGAACGGGGTCCTATCCTGGGATCGCTCTGTGGTTGGAGGGTAAGTCCTCTGATAGGTTGGGGCGGAGTAACTGCCCTCCGACCCATGAAAGGACTGCCTGCGATAAAAGGGAGAGTATCTCCTATCGGTCCTTCTGTGAGACAGGGGAAGTACCTTCCTTTTATCTTTGGTCTCTACCAAAATGGGATCTAAAACGTCACCAAACAAATTACTGCCCTGAAAAGGAGCAGACACCAACTTCCATTTGGATTTCATATCAGCCTGCCAATGGCGAAGCCATAACAATCGTCTGGAAGTCACGTTGGAAGCCAAGGCCCTGGAAGCGAACTTTGCCGCGTTAAGAGTTGCATCAGCAGAGTATTCTGCTGCAGCAATTAATTTGTTGATGTCTTGATGTAATCTGACATCTCCAGAGGGAGCCCGTGCCTGCATTTGGTGTAGCCACAGAAGGGAAGGTCTGTTAAAGGAGGAGGCTGCTGTGACTGATCTATCGCCCAGGCAGCTGCTTGATGTGTCTTACAAACTGACATCTCAGCTTTCCTATCCTTGGTTTTCAACCCTTCTGCTGAATCTGAGGGAAGAATGTTGGAAGAGGCTAGATTGGCAAAGGGAGCATCTATTGCAGGTAACTTAAGCATGTCTTCCACTTACCGTTCTACGGTGTACATCTTTTTGTCTAATCCGCTGGGATTAGACAAGGACCCTGGTTGAAGCCATTGTTTCTTGATAATGTCTACAAATAATCTAGGGGAGGGAATAACGTCCTGGGTAGTGACCGGTTCTGTAAATAACCTTGCATGGGGATCCTGCTCAGCCGAGCGATCAGATGCCCCAGCTGCAACCCCCAGATTGGCAGTGGTCTTGGCCTTGTATAACAAGGTCTTAAACATGTTGGGATTAAATAGGCCAGTGAAGGCCGGTTTGTCTGGTGATCTGCCTTTATCTTCAGAGAGATCATGTTCTGCAAATTCTTCCTCCCCAGGATAAGACCATTCACTGCCCTGAGAAGCTTGGGGTGAGTGGGGACCCCGGGAATAACCCCTATCAGGGTGGCCTTGGTGCACGTTGGGGGTGGTGCCAGTTGAGGCGGGTGCAGGAATGCCCCTCCTAAGCAGAGCAGAGTCGCCCTGGGCAATGGTCTGGGCTAACATCTGGCAGAGTTCCTGGGAAAGAACAGGGGCCTGATTTTCCTCAGGGAGGAGTCCCGCTGCTGTAGGAGTGAAGGTGGTTGAAGGAACTGACCTCCTAGGGACTGAAGTGACCCCCTGTTCGGATGAACACTGTCCTGATATGGGAATAATCTCCTCAGTACACTCAATTAAATCAGCTGGTGGATCTGTGGTAGGATCTGGAGACCACGTCAATCTATCCTCATGTAAAGCAGAAGAAGGAAGATCCTGAGTTAGAGAAATATTAGGCTCTGGGTGAACTGTGATGAGGCCTAGGCCTGTGGAAGCTTCTGCCTGCTTTTTTGCCTTTTCAAATTGTTTCTCTAAAGCCTTTTGCCTTCTTTCTGCATCCTTATCAGCAGCTGTGGAAGTAGAGGCCCTGGATCTAGTGGAAGGACCAGATTGTGCCCCAATTGCCTTACTGTGATCAAAAGACATAGCTTTCTTAGAAGAAGAATAGGATGCAGTATCTTTGGAGTGAGAGGAGCTGCAATCCGCCATCTTGGAATGACAAGAAAAAAAAAAAACTCAATCACAGAACTCACCAGGAGTAATAAACACAATCTTGGATATTATTATTATTATTATTCCTCACTCCTATACTGACAAATATGGCGCCAAACTGACACAACAGCTCGTATGCCCAATTGCCACTGCTGTTAGGTATTAGGCGTGAGACTGATCAATGACCAGCTCGAAAACTCAATTTAAAATGCAGCAGTATTTAAAACGGCGCGGGACAGACACAACAGTCTCCAAACCACAGTAAGCTATAGCGGTAAGCAATTAACGTTCTGAGAAGCTAGATCCGATTGCCAAACTCACGTGGCTCCTTACTGTGTTTCTGACAGAAAAACTGCAAAGGAACGATCCCCCGAAGCTTTCTGAGGCGTTTGAGGCTTTCCGCTGTCATTTTAAGCCAAGGGGAGCCGAAATTGAAAGTAAAATGGATCGCCGCCACTGCGCTGTTAATGGCGGCAATGGTGATCGGCCCCTGAGGCAAAGAAATAGCTCCGGAGCTAATTAGCTCTACAGAGCGCCTGGCGGTCGTTGCGCGCCGCTGGAGAACACTTCAGGCTGTAGAGTTAAGAATTTTGAGGAAAGGGGAGAAGGAGAGCTGCTTCTGTGGCTGGCAGAATATTTTAAAGAATTTTTTCGCAATGGAGAAAATTAGTGGAAGTCTCTTTGGACCGACTGAGTTGAAACACTGAAGGCTCCTGGGAGAAGGAGGCATGGCTAGGCAAATTCAACTCAGTCTCTGGCCAACCAGGCTAAACTTGAACCCATTGCTTGGACTCTCCAAGCAGCACACAGGAGATCAGTATCTGGGGTGGTGGGGCTGAGCAATCTGGAGAAGACCTGGCCAAGGTGTCTTCCGACTCTTGTAGGGAATCACGATGAGAGTGTTGCGGCTGGCTCTTCCACTGTCTTAACTTAAAAGAGAGGTTGAAAGCAGCGTGCCTTGCTTATTGCTTAATGTAGTAAAAATCCTGTCTGTTGGGAGGTGCCTTAAATACAACTTGGAAACAGGAGATCTAAACAGAGCTAATGAAAGTCATTAAGGAGAGGACCGATCTAGAATTAAGGAGAAATTTCCAGACAGTTGAGAATAATTCATTAGGGGAACAGCTTACTTCCAGAAATTGTGGGTGCTCCATCACTGGAGGTTTTCAAGAAGAGATGGGACAGCCGTTTGTCTGAAAATAGGGTTTCCTGCTTGAGTTGGGGGTTGGACTAGAAGACCTCCAAGATCCCTGCCATCTGTTATTCTGTTTAAGTAAGTGTTTAAGTGGCCTTCCTTTGTCAAATTTATCCATTTTACAGATTAAACTGGTGAATTAGCTACTGTTAATAATAGAGTAGCCCTCAGCTTTCCTCTCCTCCCCCTCTCCGCTCCTTTCCTTCCCTTCTCCCTTCCCTTCCCTCCCTAGCTTTCCTTTCCTGTTTTTCCTTTCCTTTCCCTTCCTCATCCATTAATTTCCTTTCCTTCCCTTCCCTTCTCTTCTTCCTCTCTTCTTTCCTTCCCTTCCCTTCCCTTTCATCTGTCCTTTCCTTTCATCGTCCTTCCCTTCCCTTCCCTTCCCGTCCTCCTCTCCTTTCCTTCCCTCTTTCCTTCCCTTCTCCCTTCCCTTCCCTCCCTAGCTTTCCTTTCCTATCTGTTTTAACTTTCCTTTCCCTTCCTCATCCATTAATTTCCTTTCTTTTCCATTCCTTCCCTTCCGTTCCCTTCTCTTCTTCCTCTCTTCTTTCCTTCCCTTTCCTTCCCTTCATCTGTCCTTTCCTTCCCTTCTCTTCTCCTTCCCTTTTCATCTGTCCTTTCCTTTCATCTGTCCTTCCTTTTCTGTCCTCCTCTCCTTTCCTTCCCCTTTCATCTTCCCTTCCCTTCCCCTTTCATCTGTCCTTTCCTTTCTTTCCTTTCCTTTCCTTCCCCTTCCCCTTCCCCAAACCGTTCTAATCCCTGATCTCCCTTTCACAAGAAAGTTAGCTCTCTGCTAGCTTTTCCATGTCCCCCCTTTGCTAGAATTCACCTCCTACAAAAATTCTTGCTGTTGCTCTTCTGATGGAGAACAATCACAACTGGCTGAGGATCTTCATGAGGACACTAGCAGAGAATGCTCCATCATCCTTTCCACCCCTCGTTCTGATTTCCTTTCTCCGTCTCCTTTTTTCCCCTTCCTCTTTATTTTTAGTGGGAGATGACTCCACACCCCGATGTAATCCTAGTTTCCTATCTCGATGGTCAAAACAGGAAGAAGAACTGAAAACCTTTTCCCGAAAGATCAGGAGATCTTCTTGCAAAATGAACAGTAACTTGGTGGCATCTCCAGGAGTGGGCTTCAAAAATTTTAGCAAGAGGTTCTCTGCCTGGCTGCTGGGTGGGCGTGGCCATGGTGGGCGTGGCCTGGTCGGCCTCCTGCACCATGGTGGTGTTGGGGCGTTTTTGCCTTCCCCAGGTTCCAGAGGCTTTCCTTAAGCCTCCGGGAGGGCCAAAACAGTCTCCCCAGGTTCCGGAGGCCCTCTAGAGGCCAGAAATGGGCCTGTTTCCAGCCTTCCCAAACTTCTAGTACGCCCGTTTTTTGCCCTCCTCGAGCCTCTGCATGCAGCCTGCACTTACCTGCATCCAAGACGGGCCGCGTGGGGACTTCTGGGAGGGGAGGGAGGGCAGATCCAGCCAGGAGTGGGATTTGGGGGTTGTCCGAACTGCACAGAATCTTAGCTAGAGGTTTTCCCGAACCTGCAGCAGCTCACCCCTGGGCATCTCACTCTTGCAAAAAGATCGTCTTGCAAAACAAGCAGTAACATGGTGGCATCTCACTCTTTTCTCTTCCTCCCCCCCCTTCCTTCTTTTCTTCTCATTAGACCAATTAAAATGAAATACTGAACAATCAACTGCAGGAGCTATCAGAATGTCCATCTGCGGCAGAAAAAACAGCTCGTCCCCTCGAATTTGCGGCTTCCTTTTCATCTTTACGTTGTTCCTTGTGTCGTATTATTGGAAGAGGAGCCAAAGCTGGGATCCGTTGAACGAAAATGTTGAGGAAGGGAAATGGCCTGGCAGTTTTTGCAAAGGCCGGCTCGCCAACGGTACAATCACCCCACTCCAGGATAAACACAGTTTTATCATCACCCCTTATTCTGACAAGCGACAGGAAAATCTCATCCGGGTCCTGAGCATTATCCACCATCAAAATGTCAGCAACCTTTACTGCATCTTTTGCTGCGAGAACAGCCAGATGATTGAGGTCGTACAAGGAGAAATCGATGTCCACAAAGACCGCTTCGGTTTCCCATACGGCACCACAGATCTGCTTTGTCTTCAGCCGGAAGACTGCGAAGCTCACTTCATTTCTGTCCACCCCGAGAATCCCAACCTGGAATTGACCCACCTGCCCCTATTTCCCATCCGAAACCTCTATCCGGAGAAGCCCTCTGTGAACTTCACGATCTGCATGTCTACCATGTTTGGGAAATATGACAACGTCTTGCAGTTCGTACAGTCCATGGAGCTGTACAGGCTTCTGGGGGTCCAAAGAGTGATGATATACAAGAACAGTTGCAGCCCCCTCATGGACAAAGTTCTCAACTATTACATCTCCCAAGGCATCGTGGAAATTATTCCTTGGCCCATCGATTCGTACCTGAACGTTTCGACCCGCTGGCATTACTCCATGGAAGGGAAAGATTTGGGCTACTACGGGCAAATCGCAGCCTTGAACGACTGTGTTTATTACAACATGTTTAAAAGCAAATATGTCTTGCTGATTGACCCCGATGAGGTTATTCTTCCCTTGAAGGATGCAGACTGGAAGTCCCTAATGGAAAGATTAGAAAAGGAACATCCAGGAGTTGGGATTTTCCTTTTCGAAAACCAGGTTTTTCATCGCACCGTGTTCTCCGAGACTCCTTTCAACTTTTCGTCCTGGACAACGGTGCCGGGGTTTAACGTCTTTGAACACATCCACAAGGAACCTAAAGACGTTCACAGTTTCAATAACATGAAAATGATTGTGGATCCAACCAAAGTCATTCAGACCTCGGTCCATTCTGTTCTCAAGATGTATGGAGGCTCCCTTGAAGTCCCCAGTGATCTCGCCTTTAACTTCCACTGCAGGATCGGCAAACATATGAACTCGCCCAATAGCACTTTGATTCGAGACCCAGTTTTCTGGAGATACAACAAAACTTTGATCCCCAGAGTGAACGATGTCTTATTTAAATCCGGGATTTTAGGAGCCGGTGACCCGCCGCAAAAGCAAAAGGGTTGATGCCTTAGTAAATTGCATCAGTGTGTGTCTATGCATGGTTGTGTGTGTGTGTGGTCATTTAAACTTTAAGCACAGGTTGTCCTCGACGTACGACCACAGTTCAGTCCCATGTTTCTGCTGTTCAGCGAAACATTTGTTAAGTGAGTTTTGCCCCATTTTACGATGGTTGTCAAGTGAATCACAAAGTTGTTAAGAAGCCGGTTGTTAAGTGAATCCGAATTTCCCCATTGACCTTGCTAGTCTGAGGGTCACAGAAGGGGATCACATGACCCTGGGACACCGCAACCGTCATAAATATGAATCAGTCCCCAACCATCGGAATTTTGATCCCGTGACCACAAAGGTCAGAAGTGCGAAAAACGGTCATAAATCACTTTTTTTTTTACAATCCCGTTGTCACTTCGAACGGTCACAAAATGAAACTGTTGTAAGTCGAGAACTGCCTGTATTTCACCATACCTTGGTTGGTGGGTTAGTCTTTCCTGTAAGGTGAGTTCTCATTCTGTAGCATTCTCTTTTATTATAGGTTCCTTTCATTTTTAGAATTTCGCTGCTATGGTGGAACTTGATTACGCTCTTTTGGGCGACCAATCTCCTTGAATCATTGGGACCGATGTTGAAGATGTTTAAGCTTATCAATCAGGGCAGGGGGTGTCAAACTCAATTTCATTGAGGGCCACATCAGGGTTGTATTTGACCTCGGGGGGAAGGAGGGCAGTGTGGGCGTGGCCAAGGTGACATCACTAGTGTCAGGGGTGGCTGTGGCGGCCCAAGTGCTCTACCAGCGAAAACGGGCTCCCGAGCTCCGTTTTCAGCCGCGACAGCTTCCTGCAACGCCCTGCCAGCGAAAATGGAGCTCTGTTTTTGCTGGCAGAGGCACTGCGGGCCAGTTCTTTGCTGTTTCCAGGGCGGCCCTGCGGGCCAGATCTAAACACCCAGCGGGACGGATCCAGCCACCTGGGCCTTGAGTTTAACCCCCCTCCCCCCGAATCAGGGAAAAGAAGACAGGTCTTCTAATCCAGTAGTCTCCAACTTTTGCAGCTTGGCGACCTGGCCCAGTGCGAGGTGTTTGTGTGTGTGTGTGTGTGTGTGTGTGTGTGTGTGTGTGTGTGAGTGGCAGGCACTTGTGTTCAATCGTGAAGCTTCACATGTGCAAATGGAGCTTCGCGCACGAGCTCAAACACCTTCTGCTCAAGTGCCTTATGTTTGCATGTGTGCAGCTTCACGTGTGAGCACTTGTCGGCTATTCCTGTGAGTGGAGCTTTGCGCACACTTGTTCATCGCTCGTGTGGTCCGGTTTCAAACAGGCCGCGGCCCGATGGTGGGAACCCCTGTTCTAATCTATCTGCATTTGATTGAAAAAAAATGGGAAGCCAGAGGGAGAAATAAATAAGAAATAAAACTGTGGGTTCAACCCAGAATCTGTTTTTTATCTATAGAGAATGGATGGGTGCTGTCCATGGTAATTGCTTATTAAGTCTTGAGATAAAATCCATTAGCAAGTATAACCCAGGATTTAATGATATAAAAAAAATGGAAGGTGGCACTTCTCTTGAAAAAAAAAAAATCAATGTACTCAGGGCAAAATTCTGTAATTCTTTGTGATTCTTTCAATAAATTTACTGATGCAGACTCTTGATAATTACTTTGTGGTGTCCTTTCCTGCCTCCTTCGCTGAGATTTTGCACCCAAACTGTGCAGCTGCACCCAAAACGCACAGCCGGAGTAAGACTGCAATTGCTGCTATTCTGAATATTGATTTTAAACAAGAGCCGTAAAAGGTTGCCTTAGAAAAAACACATTAAATTTTAATTAGATAAAACCTATTCTCTGTGCTGGCAAAAGAATATTTATTTCTAGGTGCACGTCTCAAGGCATGAGATAGAAGAGTCTTCAAATTCTTAAGTCTATATTCTGGCAAGCATGCAACTTCTCCCTCTGATTTAGTGCATACAACTGGTTTTGTCCATACAACTTCTCCCTCTGATTTTGCCCATATAACTTCTCCGTCTGATTTTGTGCATGCAATTTCTCCATCTGATTATGTGCCTGCAACTTCTCTATCTGATTTAGTGCATACAACTTCTCCCTCTGATTTTGTGCATACAACTTTTCTATCTTATTTTGTGCCTGCAACTTCTCCATCTAATTTTGTGCATGCAACTTCTCCATCTGGTTTCATCCATATAACGTCTCCTTCTGATTTTGCCCATATAACAACTCCGTCTGATTTTGTCCATGCAACTTCTCCATCTGAATTTGTGCATGCTCCCTCTGATTTTGTCCTCGCAACTTCTCCCTCTGATTTTGCCCATACAACTTCTCCCTCTGACTTTGACTTGACTTGACTTTTTACTTGACCTTTACTTGACTTGACATAACTTGACTTTTCCTTGATTTCTTCTTGAGTGAGTTTGACTTGACTTTCATTTGGGTTGACATGACTCTGACTTGACTTATACTTAACTTCTTGACTTGACTGACTTGGGTTGACTTGACTTTTACTTGACTTATACTTGACTTCTTGACTTAATCTGACCTACTTGACTTCACTTTTATTTGACTTTGAGTTGGGTTGACTTGACTTTGACTTGACATATACTTGACTTCTTGACTTGACCTTGATTTTTACTTGACTTTACTTCTCAACTTGACTTCTAGTTTCCTCAACTTGACTTTGACTTGATTTTTACTTGATTTCTCCTTGATTTGACTTTCACTTGGGTTGACTTGATTTTCACTTGACTTATACTTGACTTCTTCTTGACTTGACTTATATTTAATTTCTTCTTGACTTGACTTATACTTGACTTCTTGACTTGTATTTGACTTGTATTTGACTTTAACTGAAATTGACTTGGCTTTTACTTGACTCTTACTGGGCTGACTTGACTTCTTTTTGATGACTTGACATACTTGACTTATGCTTGACTTCTTCTTGACTTGACTTTGACTTGACTTTGACTTCTTCTTTACCTGACTTTTATTTCACTTGATTTGAATTTTATTTGACTTCTTCTTGACATGACTTGATTTCTTCTTGACTTGACTTCTTCTTGATTTGACTTTGAGTTGGGTTGACTTCTGTTTGACTTGACTTGACTTTTAGTTGACTTTGACTGGTTTGGCTTGACTTTTACTTGACGACTTGACTTTTACTTGACTTGACTTATACTTGACTTCTTTACTTGACTTGTCTTGACTTTTACTTGACTTGAAGAGGTTTCTTGCAAGGATCTTCCATCCATGGACCATTTATCCAGCACTTTTAATTAACTACCATATTTTTCCTTGATGTTCCAAGTACCTGCAAACCTTATGTCATTTGAGTAACCTGCTCCAGTGTGTGGTATAACGTCCAGTGCCAAATTGCAAGATGGGAAGATGGGTTAACTGGAGGTACCCCTGGCAACGAAGGGACTAATTGCTGCTGTAATACACTCGGTTTTAAGGCTCCTTCTGGCTTACTTCATCCCAAAGGAAAGATTTCCCTTCAATTGTGTGGCTTGGGGGCTGTTCATCCAAAATGTCCCATTGGGTGAGCTTCTCCTACATCCCCCGCCCCCCAGGGCTGGTTTTAGAACTTCCCGATCCCAGAAAACATTTGTGGAGGTGAAAGTATTAATGAGGACTCTCCTTCCCCTGTTTCTCCTAAAAGAGAGAAGGTTTTCACCAAACCCAAATCCCATTCTACCCAGCCAGAAAGTCAAGTGTTCTTTGGAGCAAGCTAGAATAGCTAAAAAGTTCCCCTGTTTCTTGTTTGCCCAACCATGCCTTGCAACAAAGTTATGAGCTGCTTCGTGGCATCTTGGGGGGGGCAGCCAAATGACCCAGTTTCTTAATCCAGATGTGGGGAAGCCAATGGTCATTTTGGATAAACAGTGCCCTTGGCTTGAAAGTCCGGCGTGCTTCAAGAGCATGCCAGCTACCGATCTGGCTGGATCTTGGTTCTCTTCCAAGCCGTTGTTTACTTTAAGTGTATGCTTAATGTCTTCGCCGTTAATGATTGTAGTGCATTTTTTAAGCGTCACGCCGTATTGTCTATCTCCTGTTCCTAAGAGCGAAGGAAGGTAAGAGAAATTCTTGGATTTGGACAGGAAATGAGAACACATGTCTCAGCCCCTGGCATTTCCCCACCCCCCACCCCCCAAATCCTTGTTTTCTCTTGGAGCGAAATTCTTGGAAGCCATTCCAACAAATTGGGGGGTTACAAGTTAGGTAGTTGCTGTCGAGTTTCAGGATGGGCAAATTTCTGGTTGATCATCCCAATGTAGCATCCATCGCGATTTCTGAATGTCTGCAGTCCAGAATAATTATTCCAGAGAACTCTGGATTTTCTCGGGATTTTCTGTCAGATGGCTTAATAACACCTCTGTGTAGGAGGATGCACCATTCACCTGGAGCCTTTAAAAAGCTGCATAATGACCAGTAAAAATCTGACTTCCAACCCCATTAACCCAGCTAAGAAATGAATTGCATCTAGCAAATTTGGGCCCCAAATTGCATGAATCCCCTTTTTACAACTGTGCTAAATTTCACTTATCTCCCTTTATTTATTCATTTTTTAAATAAGCTGCTGAAACGCCTTCTGAGAAGCAGTCAAGCAAACAAGAAACTTTTCTCCGTTACGAAAAACTGATTTTTTTTGGAAAAAAAAATGTCAGGTTTTTAATTGCCCGGAATGAATTCCTATTTACATCAAAGATTGGACTAGTGCAATAAAATTAACCCCATTCATAAAAGTTTCTGGTCTGACTTGGTGATGAGGACGTTAATTAAAGTTAAATGACTAATGGCAGCAGCTCAAGCCAGACATCGTTTTAAGTCACGAAAAGAGGTGCTTTTTAATGAAATCCTTTTGAAAGGACGCGATAGTAGTTTCCTGTGTTGCCCCCCACCCCCCAACCATGCAAAGACTAAGCAAATCTATGAAATTGTACGTGTGCTGAATTTTAAGTTAGTCAGAGTTCCAGAAACGAAGTTCAGGATTTGATTGTCAATTGCTTTCAGAACAAAAAAAAAAATTATTGATTTACTGGGTGAGAACTAGGAAGGGGAGGAAACCCCCCCCCCCACACACTCTAAAAATATCCCTGTCTTAAAAAGGAGGTAGTACAAGTATAGCTCCTTTCCCAACAACCTCCGTCATTTTCGTTCGTCACCTTCCTGTGAAAAGTTTTCAGGACTGGAAATTGCTAGTTTTTTTTTTTTTCTTTTTAAATGACATTGGAAAATGCGCTTGTTTTGGTGTGCCCAAGTAGACAACCCTCTCCATTGTTAACGAAAGAAAAAAAAGAACCAGTGTTGCAAAAGGAAAGCCTGCCACATTTTTTTTTTTTTTGACTTTGGTAGAACAATATTAAGTAAGCACTGTGGCTCACAGCCCGGAGAAAAATGTACAGTAAAGACTGAGTGACATGGTGCTTCGTTCAGCAATACAGGCAGCAGGGTGGTTTGAAAAATGTGAAATAAATGAGTAATAGAACAGTGTCTTCTTCTTTCTTCTTCTCCTCCTCTTCCTCCTCTTCCTCCTCCTCCTCCTCCTCCTCCCCCTCCTCCTCCTCCCCTCTTCTTCTCCTTCTCCTTCTCCTTCTTAGCATAATCCACGTTTAAATGGTAATTGTCCTATGAAAAGCATGAGGATTCTATAGCTTTTTTTTTAAAAAAACACGTTTTTTTATTGTGCATCGTTGACTGTGAATTAAGCAGGTGCATATTGGTACTATTGAGTCTCCCCCAGAAAAGCCCTCTTCATCCAAACCCCCCCCCCATCTCTATCCAACGATGGGTAGGGCCAAAGCTCGATAAATGTGAAGATTTCCACTTTGGGAAAGGACCTTCCGAGCTGGCGTTCGATGAGATGGGCATCACAAGAGGGAAAGGACAAGTGGCGAGATCCACTGAGGAGGTACTATATGGCTACTACCGCATGTGTGAAAAGAGTACTTTCACACACATACACCCATCTCTGTTGAAGCTCCTTCAACCGGAGACGTCGTCTTGGCAGCCCGGGTAAAGCGAAACGGGTTGAGGTCGAAGTTGCCTTCGGTTGAAGGAATGGAGATGGGCGCGCATGTGTGGACATGTCTGTGCTCCAAGGGAGGTTATTTTATTTTTATTTTTATTTTTGCCTTTGAAACCTGACCTACCCTGTCCAGCCCGGGACAAGTCGCTCTTTTGGGACTGACCGCCGTTTAGCCACTTTTGGGGGGAAAAAACGGTCCCCGTCCGTCGATTTCCACAACGACAATTTGTCAATTTCCTCAGTGAGACCTAGTTGCACTATTTTAATTTAATTCCAGATAAAACTACGGACGTTTTTTCACCCTCCTGGGGAAGTCTTTTTTTAAATTTTTCTTTTGTTTTTTTTCTTCTTCTTCTGGCAAAGTATTTTGTTACCTCAGCCTTCTTATCGGATTGCTGCATTTTTCAGCTTGTTACATTGATAATAACTGTTTCACTAAATAAAGCAAAAACTTTAATGTAAAAATAAATAAATAAATGGCTCGGGTGTTTGTTTCTTTTCTCCTCCTTTGTTCCGATAGAATAGAATTCTTTATTGGTCAAGGGTGATTGGACACGCAAGGAATTTGTCTTGTTGCATATGCTCTCAGTGTACATAAAAGAAAAGACACATTCGTCAAGAATCATAAGGTAGAACACTTAAGGATAGTCATAGGGAACAAATTGTTCTGATCTGGGAAGGTAAAGAGAATTGTTGATCAATGGTAAAGCTATACAGTACAGGCACAGGGCCAGGTCCCATCAAGGGCCCCTGTGTGCCAGGGAAACATCACCATGCCTTCCCCTTGCCTTGCCTTGGCCACCAGGTAGCCTGGCTCCTGCCTGGCATTTACCACCTGGTGACCAGGGAAAGAAAAGGGTGACGTAATGCCCCACTCCAATGAGGTCGTCTTTCTTGGGCATTACGTCATCTTTTAGTCCTGGCTAAATCCAAGGGTTCTAGGGTTTTTGGTTGACTCCGTGCCAGCCAGGGACCAGGGGGGAAAAAGGTGGCGACGTAATGCCATATTCCAATGATGTCATCTTCTGTTGGACATTACGTCGTCTCTTTTTTTTTCTAGGGAAACCCTAAGTTTCTGGCCCATTCGCTTGGCTCTGTGCCAAGAAAAAAAAGGATGGTGTTATGCCACATTCCAATGATGGGGGCTTTGTTGTGCGTTACGTCGTCTCTTAAACAGCCTGATGTTTTTTGAGAGCCCAGAGAGTCAATCGCCCCCTTCCGCAAGACCACCCACATCTCAATTATTCAGGCCAGGCTGGCACCCTGGTGCATGTTCTTAGTTTGTGGTTTAGGGCAGAGTTTTTACACTTACTTTGACACACTTAACCTGGTGTTCCAAAACAGCAACAGAGTCCAGGTGATTATGGATTGGCTTACTTCGTCCTGTAGGTGATTGCTTAGGACCAGACACTGGGATCCTTCTCTGGGTGTCTCCGAGCCCAGCTACCCATCTTATCTACCCCTGTGCCTCATTGGGTCCCTTAGGTCCCCCCAAGACTCATATCCCCCCTCCCCAATTCAGAATAACAGAGTAACAGAGGCAGAAGGGACCTTGGAGGTCTTCTAGTCCAGCTCCCTGCTCAAGCAGGAGACCCTAAACCATTCCAGACATACAATCCCTTCTTCCAATCTCTTCTTCACAACCTCCAGTGATGGAGCACCCATAACTTCTGAAGGCAAGCTGATCCATTAGTTGACTGCTCTCACCGTTAAGTTGGTTCTCTTGTTCTCTTAGTTCTAGGTTGGTTCTATCGTTCTCCTAGTTCTAGATTGTCCCACCAAATCCAAAATAAAAGCCTCTCCCATCAGTGAAGAGATCCAGCAAAGAATCATCCCCAGAGAGAAATCATCCAGATGCCTCAAGCTCTCAGACCCATAGTCAGCTCCATAGGCTCACCTCTACAGAATCTTGCCAAATTTCTTGCCAAATAACTTCAGCCCCACGCAGAATCCATCACTTCACATGTACAAAACTCATTCCACTTCACAGAAACAATAAAGAAACAAAACCTACAATTCAGCGACCGACTCGTGAGCTTCGATGTCATATCCCTCTTCACCCAAGTATCTATTAAAGAAGCCTTGACAGCTATCCAAAACAAATACAACACCCCTAAGCACATCCTAGATCTGACCAACCACTGCCTAACCAACACATACTTCATCTACAATGGACAAAGATACAAACAGATAGAAGGAGCACCTATAGGATCACCTCTCTCACCCGTCATCGCAAACCTATACATGAAACACTTTGAAATCAACGTTTTAGATAAATCTGAACACAAACCCAAACTCTGGCTTACATATGTAGATGAGACTTTCGTAATTTGGCCACACGGAAAGGAAAAACTGGCCAACTTCCTCACACATCTCAACAGCCTACACCCCAACATACAATTTACTATAGAAATAGAAGCTAACAACCAACTCTCCTTTCTGGATGACCTAATCTACAAAAAACCCAACGGCTCCCTAGGACGCACCATCTACCAGAAAAAAACACACACCAATCGCTACTTAAATGCAAGGTCAATAGGGAAAGCCGGATTCACTTAATAACCGGGTTGCTAATTTAACAACTGTTTCTGTGCATAGTTGTCTGTGTGTATGTTGGAGAGAGACTGGCCTAGCTTGGGGCAGAGTCAAGCAGGGAATTAGTCTGGAATCCCTATATGGACACAAGCAGGTGAACTCTCCCATTGAACCTTATCTAGCCTTACCCTGGGTAAGACTGAGATGATTCCTATCCACTTTTCATGTGTGGATCTACTTGTTCACACTTGACAATATAGATGTGAGTGTACACACACACACAACCATGCACAGACACACACTGATGCAATTTACTAAGGCTTCAACTTTTTTGCTTTTGTGCCGGGTCACCGGCTCCTAAAATCCCGGATTTAAATAAGACATCGTTCACTCTGGGGATCAAAGTTTTGTTGTATCTCCAGAAGACTGGGTCTCGAATCAAAGCGCTATCGGGCAAGTTCCTACGTATGGGGCTCCTGCAGTGGAGGTTAAAGGCGAGATCATTGGCGACTTCAAGGGAGCCTCCATACAGCTTGAGAACAGAATGGACCGAGGTCTGAATGACTTTGGTTGGATCCAGAATCATTTTCATGGCATTGAAGCTGCGAACGTCTTTAGGTTCCTTGTGGATGTGTTCAAAGACGTTAAACCCCGGCACCGTTGTCCAGGACGAAAAGTTGAAAGGAGTCTCGGAGAACACGGTGTGACGGAAATTCTGGTTTTCGAAACGGAAAATCCCAACTCCTGGATGTTCCTTTTCCAATCTTTCCATTAGGGACTTCCAGTCTGCATCCTTCAAGGGAAGAATAACTTCATCGGGGTCAATCAGCAAGACATATTTGCTTTTAAACATGTTGTAGTAAACACAGTCGTTCAAGGCTGCGATTTGCCCATAGTAGCCCAAATCTTTCCCTTCCATGGAGTAATGCCAGCGGGTCGAAATGTTCAGGTACAAATCGATGGGCCAAGGAATAATTTCCACGATGCCTTGGGAGATGTAATAGTCGAGAACTTTGTCCATGAGGGGGCTGCAACTGTTCTTGTATATCATCACTCTTTGGGCCCCCAGAAGCCTGTACAACTCCAGGGACTGTACGAACTGCAAGACGTTGTTGTATTTCCCAAACATGGTAGACATGCAGATCGTGAAGTCCACAGAGGGCTCCTCTGGATAGAGGTTTCGGATGGGAAATAGGGGCAGGTGGGTCAATTCCAGGTTGGGATTCCCGGGGTGGACAGAAATGAAGTGAGCTTCGCAGTCTTCCAGCTGAAGACAAAGCAGATCTGCGGTGCCGTATGGGAAACCGAAGCGGTCTTTGTGGACATCGATTTTTCCTCGGACGACCTCAATCATCTGGCTGTTCTCGCAGCAAAAGATGCAGTAAAGCTTGCGGACTTTTTGATGGTGGATAATGCTCAGGACCCGGATGAGATTTTCCTGTCGCTTGTCAGAATAAGGGGTGATGATAAAACTGTGTTTATCCTGGAGTGGGGTGATTGTACCGTTGGCGAGCCGGCCTTTGCAAAAACTGCCAGGCCATTTCCCTTCCTTGACATTTTCGTTCAACGGATCCCAGCTTTGGCTCTTCTTCCAATAATACGACACAAGGAACAACGTAAAGACGAAAAGGAAGCTGCAAATTCGAGGGGGCGAGCTGTTTTTTCTGCCGCAGATGGACATTCCGAAAGCTCCTGCAGTTGATTGTTCAGTATTTCATTTCAATTGATCTAATGAGAAGAAAAGAAGGAAGGGGTGGGGGGGGAGAAAGGAAGAGAAAAGAGTGAGATGCCACCATGTTACTGCTTGTTTTGCAAGACAATCTTTTTGCAAGAGTGAGATGCCCAGGAGTGGGCTGCTGGGGGTCTTGGATGCAGGTAAGTGCAGGCTGCGTGCGGAGGATTGGGGAGGGCAAAAAATGGGCATACCAGAAGTTTGGGAAGGCTGGAAACGGGCCCGTTTCCGGCATCTAAAGAGCCTCCAGAGCCTGGGGAAGCTGTTTTGGCCCTCCCGGAGGCACAAGAAAAGCCGCTGGAACCCGGGGAGGGCAAAAACGCCCCAACACCACCATGGTGCAGGAAGTCGACCAGGCCACGCCCACCATGGCCACGCCCACCCAGTACCCAGGCAGAGAACCCCTTGCTAAAATTTTTGAACCCCATCCCTGGAGATGCCACCATGTTACTGTTCGTTTTGCAAGAAGATCTCCTGATCTTTCGGGAAAAGGTTTTCAGTTCTTCTTCCTGGTTTGACCATCTAGATAGGAAACTAGGATTACATCAGGGCGTGGAGTCATCTCCCACTAAAAATAAAGAGGAAGGGGGGGAAAAGGTGACGGAGAAAGGAAATAAGAATGAGGGGTGGAAAGGATGATGGAGCATTCTCTGCTAGTGTCCTCATGAAGATCCTCAGCCAGTTGTGATTGTCCTCCATCAGAAGAGCAACAGCAAGAGTTTTTGTAGGAGGTGAATTCTAGCAAAGGGGGGACATGGAAAAGCTAGCAGAGAGCTAACTTTCTTGGGAAAGGGAGATCAGGGATTAGAACGGCTTGGGGAAGGGAAAGGGGAAGGAAAGGAAAGGAAAGGAAAGGAAAGGAAGGAAAGGAAAGGAAAAGGAAAGGAAAAGGAAAGGAAAGGAAAGGAAAGGAAAGGAAAGGAAAGGAAGGAAAGAAAGGAAAGGACAGATGAAAGGAGAAGGGAAGGGAAGATGAAAGGGGAAGGAAAGGGAAGGAAAGGAAAGGAAAGGAAAGGAAAGGAAAGGAAAGGAAAGGAAAGGAAAGGAAAGGAAGGAAAGAAAGGAAAGGACAGATGAAAGGAGAAGGGAAGGGAAGATGAAAGGGGAAGGGAAAGGGGAAGGAAAGGAAAGGAAAGGAAAGGAAAGGAAAGGAAAGGAAAGGAAAGGAAAGGAAAGGAAGGAAAGAAAGGAAAGGGACAGATGAAAGGAGAAGGGAAGGGAAGATGAAAGGGGAAGGAAAGGAGAGGAGGACAGGAAAGGAAGGACAGATGAAAGGGGAAGGAAAGGGAAGGAAAGAAGAGAGGAAGAAGAGAAGGGAAGGAGAAGGGGAAGGGGAAGGAAAGGAAATTAATGGATGAGGAAGGGAAAGTAAAGGAAAAACGGATAGGAAAGGAAAGCTAGGGAGGGAAGGGAAGGGAGAAGGGAAGGAAAGAGGGAAGGAAAGGAGAGGAGAGGGGAGGAGAGGAAAGTTGAGGGCTACTCTATTATTAGCAGTAGCTAATTCACCAGTTTAATCTGTATAATGGATAAATTTGACAAAGGAAGGCCACTTAAACACTTACTTAAACAGAATAACAGATGGCAGGGACCTTGGAGGTCTTCTAGTCCAACCCTCTTCTTAGGCAGGAGACCCTACACCACTTCAGACAAATGGTTGTCCAACATCTTCTTAAAAACTTCCAGTGTTGGAGCATTCACAACTTCTGGAGGCAAGTTGTTCCACTGATTAATTGTTCCAACTGTCAGGAAATTTCTCCTTAGTTCTAAGTGGCTTCTCTCCTTGAATAGTTTCCACCCATTTCTTCTTGTCCTGCCTTCAGGTGCTTTGGAGAACAGCTTGACTCCCTTTTTTTTTGCGGCAGCCCTTGAGATATTGGAACCCTGCTATCCTGTCTCCCCTAGTCCTTCTTTTCATCAACTAGACATACCCAGTTCCTGCAACCGTTCTTCGTATGTTTTAGCCTCCAGTCCCCTAATCATCTTTGTTGCTCTTCTCTGCACTCTTTCCAGAGTCTCAGCATCTTTTTTACATCTTGGCGACCAAAACAGGATCCAGGATTCCAAGTGTGGCCTTAACAAGTCCTTATAAAGTGGTATTAACACTTCATGTTGATTCTATCCTTCTGTTTATGCAGCCTAGAACCGGTATTGGCTTTTTTGGCAGCTGCTGCACACGGCTGGCTCATATATAAGACTCATATTAGACTAGAGATTGTTCCAAAGTACATTTCCTTACCTTTTCTCGCTTCCTTACGCCCAAAGAAAAGAGCCATATCAACCTATCCCAAAGGCCAATAGTACCTTTTTTTGGAGTAACCGCGTCTCACTTCATCCAACACAACAGGTGCTTAATTGTGTCCCAAATGCGGCCACGCCAACAAAAACAAGCTGAACGTTAAAACCAGCTCTTTCTCCATGCTGGTGCACGAATGAATTGATCTGCTGTTATAGGATAACAGAGAACAACGGAATTGGAAGGGGCCTTGGAGGTCTTGTAGTCTAACCCCCTGCTCAAGCAGGAAAGCCTATTTTATTATTTATTTATTTATTAAATGTATTTATATGCTGCCATTCTCCCAAAGGACTCAGGGCGGCGAACACAAGTTAAGAAATAATACAATAAAATCATAATTTAATCCAAATAATTAATTAGTAGTAAATAATAAAGCTCGGAATCAGTCTCAGCCTATTTGTTTGAAAAGCCAAGTCTTCAAGTCCCGACGGAAGGAGCGGAGATCAGGAGCCGTCCGGAGCTCGGTAGGCAATTCATTCCAGAGGGTGGGAGCACCCACAGAGAACGCCCTACCCCTGGGCACAGCAAGGCGACATTGGCTCACCGTCGAAACCCTGAGGAGAGCGGCCCTATGTGAGCGAACAGGACGGTGAGAGGCAGGCAGGAGAAGGTCATGCAAATATCCCGGACCTAAGTCATGAAGGGCCTTATAGGTGAGGACTAGCACCTTGAAGCGGACCCGGAGAACCACTGGTAACCAGTGCAGCTCATGAAGGAGGGGTGTTATATGGGAGTAACGAGGGGCTCCCGTAACAACCCGTGCAGCTGCATTCTGGATCAGCTGGAGTCTCCGGGTGCATCTCAGGGGTAGGCCCATGTAGAGGGAATTGCAGTAATCCAAGCGGGAAGTAACCAGGGTATGAGTGACTGTGCGAAGGTCATCTCGGTCCAGGAAAGGGCGCAACTGGCGCACCAAGCGAACCTGTGCGAAGGCCCCCCTGGTCACGGCCATTAGATGGTCTTCTAGGGATAGCCGAGCATCCAGGAGGACACCCAAGTTGCGAGCCCTATCAACGGGTGCAAGTTTTTCCCCATCTATCAAAAGTGATGGAGCCTCTGAAACCCGAGATGCCGGCATCCACAGCCACTCAGTCTTAGAGGGATTGAGTTTGAGTCTGTTTCTGCCCATCCAGGCCCGTACCTCCTCCAGGCAACGGGACATCACGGAAAGGGCATCTCTGGGGTGGTCTGGGGTGGAGATGTATAATTGGGTATCATCAGCATATTGATGATATCTCACCCCAAAGCCACGAATGATCTCACCCAGTGGCTTCATATAGATGTTAAAGAGCAGGGGGGAGAGAACCGACCCCTGAGGCACCCCACAATTAATGGGCCTCAGGGTGGATCTCTGCCCTCCTGCCCATACAAACTGAAAGCGACCCGAGAGGTAGGAGGAAAACCACTGTAAGACAGTGCCTCCCATCCCTAACCCCACAAGTCGCTGCAGTAGGATACCATGGTCGATGGTATCAAAAGCCGCTGAGAGGTCAAGTAGGACCAGGATGGAGGAACAACCCCCATCCCGAGCCCGCCAGAGATCATTCACCAGAGCGACCAATGCCGTTTCCGTGCTGTGACCGTGTCGGAAGCCTGATTGGTACGGGTCAAGGTATTCCGTTTCCTCCAGGAATTGTGGGAGCTGTTGAGCCACTACAGTCTCAACAACCTTCGCGATGAAGCGAAGGTTGGAGATGGGACGATAGTTATTAAGTGAGTCTGGATCCAGGGAAGGCTTCTTGAGGAGAGGTCGAACCACTGCCTCCTTAAGAGAGGTGGGGAAGTTCCCCTCTCTCAACGAAGCGTTGACAATTGCCTGGATCCAGTCTCTAGTCACCTCTCTGGCAGCCGAAACCAACCAGGAGGGACAAGGGTCCAATAAGCAAGTGGAGGAACTAAGTTTGCCCACAATCCTGTCCACTTCCTTGACAGAAACAGGGTCAAACTCAATCCAGATATTATTCTCAAGACCCACCCTAGTCTCCCGATTGGATTCTGCCCAGTCAGAGTCCAATCCGATCCGGATCTGAGCGATTTTATCATGCAGAAACTGTACAAAATCCTCAGCTCTGCCCTGCAAAGGGTCTTCCCTCGCTCCCTGATTGAGGAGGGAGCGGGTCACACGAAACAGGGCCGCTGGGCGGTTTTCTGCAGATGCAATGAGGGCGGCGAAGTAGTGACGTTTTGCCGCTTCCATCGCCACTAGATAAGACCTAATATGGGTTCTTAACTGTGTTCGGTCAGATTCAGATCGGGAGGACCTCCAACTCTCCTCTAAGCGTCTTTTCCGACGTTTCATTTCCCGGAGCTCCATGGAAAACCAAGGAGCAATCCGGGATCTGTGTCAGGTTAGAGGCCCCAAAGGTGCGATTCCTTTGCACCAAGGAATGTCCAAGGCATCGGTAGCCACCCGTTCCCAGGATGCCACCAGAGCCTCAGCTGAATTGCAGGATTGAGAGGTGGGGAATGTCCCAAGCTCCTTTAAGAACCTTTCTGGGTCCATCAGGTGCCTAGGGCGGAACCATTTTATGGGTCCCGTCGCCCAGCGGCAGGGGTTGGCAGATTGAAAGTCTAGTCTAAGGAGGGAATGGTCAGTCCATGACAGGGGAGTGATGGAAAGTTCCCCCTTACCATGACCATTTATCCACTGCCCAGAGAGAAAAACCAGGTCGATTGTGTGTCCTCCCCTATGAGTTGGGCCCTGAATAACCTGAGTCAGGTCCATGGCTGCCATGGAGGCCATGAACTCCCGGACTGTCTCAGATGACTCACCAACCGAAGGCAGATTAAAATCTCCCACAACTAAAAGGCTGGGGAGTTCAAGTGCCACCTCAGACAAGACATCGAGCAGTGCAGGCAGGGCTGTGGCAACATAGCTGGGAGATAGGTATGTGACCAACAAGCCCGACTGAACTCCAGGGTCCCACTTCAATAGAAGAGACTCACTACTGCCTATCTGAGGGACAGTGACCTCCCTAGGACTCAGACTTTTTCTAACAACTACTGCCACCCCCCCGCCCCTTCCCTGGTGTTGCGGCTGGTGCAGGACACGAAAGCCTGAGGGGCATAAATCAGAGAGAGGGATTCCCCCCTCTTGCCCCAACCAGGCCTCCGTGATACAGGCCAGGTCTGCACCCTCCTCATCAATAAGATCTCGTATGAGGAGAGCTTTATTCATCACGGACCTGGCATTCACATATATCAGACGGAAACCAGGGTCCCTCGCTCTCATATTCCCAGGAAAGCAGGGTGAGCAGGAGGTATGGGAGCAAGTTACCATCCGAATGCATCTGGTGTGATGCTCCCCACTCCTACTTCGATTTCTTCTGCCCCTTCCCACCATCACAGGTATAGCTTGTCCCACCCTCCTCCGAGCATCTCCTACGACTCCCAACCTCCCCAACCCGCTGGGACTGTCAAAACGGCATGGCTGCTGATCCTTAAGAGACCCCCCCAGTCTCATTTTTATTATTAAAAACCACCCTCCTCCCGGATCCCCTTAAAATTGGATCTAAAAATCTACTTAAAAAACCCCAGAGTTTCCGTTTTTTAGCATACCACCTCTCGGGGTTCCAAAACCCGTCATCAAGGGCGGCCCTCGATAGTTGAGAGGGCCAAACCTGCGAGAGGGGGGAGTCTCGCAGTGCAAGGAGCTCCGCAGTTGAATACATTAAAGAATAGCAATGAGCTGAGAGTGATGAAGGATCATTTTCTATTAAAGGGTGTTAGAGATGGTAAAAACAGGTAGATTAAATAAGGGAGGAAAAGATGTTCAAGAGAAGACAATATGCTAAAGACATCAGAACATCGGGACATCATCGTTCTATCATGACGATGGGAAGTCTTGTGATTATAATAAGTCTATTCAATGGTGGGGAAAAAAGTCTCAAATGCTGCCCTTTCAAGGTGACCCAAACCAGAGTCATAAGGTCAAGTGAGAGATGGCCGTCCCACCATAGTCCAAGACTCTCGGTGTCTGTGCCTCCTCCCGTTCTCACACCAGTGATAGCCGAGGCTTAGTTCAGAAAAAAGCAAGGTGTAGTCATAGGATGGAATAAATGATAGAATAATCGAATAATCCGGGTAACCCAGGGAGGACAAGATGGTCAAATAATGGTCAAATAAGGCTGCAGATCAATCAGAAGTTGTAAATTTATGCTGAGTGGCCCGATTAGGCCTAAGCCTAATAAGGGGGGGGAACAGTTAAGGGGGAGACCAATTGTCATCCCCCAACTGACAATTCTCAGTTGCTTCCCCATAAGCTTGATCTTCAAGCCATTCAGCCCATTAAGCCCCTTCCATGCTTCAGAAAAAAAAGGGGGGGGAAGTGTCCAGATCCCTCAAAAACTGAGGGATCCTAATTTTCAGACAAACGGCTGTCCCATCTCTTCTTGAAAACTTCCAGTGATGGAGCACCCACAATTTCTGGAGGCAAGCTGTTTCCCCTGATGAATTCTTCTCAACTGTCTGGAAATTTCTCCTTAATTCTAGATCGGTCCTCTCCTTAATGACTTTCATCAGCTCTGTTTAGATCTCCTGTTTCCAAGTTGTATTTAAGGCACCTCCCAACAGGCAGGACTTTTACTAGCAATAAGCAAGGCACGCTGCTTGTCTTCCTGCCACCAACCTCTCTTTTAAGTTAAGACAGTGGAAGAGCCAGCCGCAACACTCTCATCGTGGTTCCCTACAAGAGTTGGAAGACACCTTGGCCAGGTCTTCTCCAGATCGCTCAGCCCCACCACCCCAGATACACAGCAAGCTGGCAAACCCACCTACTCACATCGCTCCAAGAAACTGGCAGCCTTTTCATCTTCTGTGGCTCGGCGTGTGTCTCTCTCGATCAGCCTCTCTCGCCACAGGAAGGAGTGAATCAGCTCCCTCTTCAGCTTCTGAGGTTCTTTCCTAATCGTCTTATTCAGTGGTGGAGGAAGAGCAAAAATTTGAATTCACCTGGGCTCTGAGCAAAGGGAAACAGGACTTCCGAGCCCCTCTGGTTAGGTTATCCCTTTGCTCTAGCTAGCTAGCTGGTGGGAGGGGAATGATCCCTGTTCGGGTAGATGAAGGGGAGGTGTAGGCTGGCTTATCTTAGATATAAGATTAGATAATTTAGAACTAGGAGAACGAGAGAACCAACCCAGAACTAAGAGAACGAGAGAACCAACCTAGAACTAAGGGAACTAGAGAACCAACCTAGAACCAAGAGAACAAGAACCAACCTAGAACTAAGAGAACAAGAGAAGCAACCTAGAATTAAGAGAACAAGAGAACAAGAGTTCCCGGGTTCTCTAATTCCCTTAGTTCTAAGTTGGTTCATCTAGTTCTCTTAGTTCTGGGTTGGTTCTCTAGTTCCCTTAGTTCTGGGTTGGTTCTCTAGTTCCCTTAGTTCTAGGTTGGTTCTCTAGTTCTCTTAGTTCTGGGTTGGTTCTCTAGTTCTCTTAGATCTGGGTTGGTTCTCTAGTTCTCTTAGTTCTAGGTTGGTTCTCTTGTTCTTTTAGTTCTAGGTTGGTTCTCTAGTTCTAGATTGGTTCTTTCATTTTCTTAGTTCTAGGTTGGGTCTCTTGTTCTCTTAGTTCTAAATTGGTTCTCTCATTCTCTTAGCTCTAGGTTGGTTCTCTAGTTCCCTTAGTTCTAGGTTGGTTCTCTAGTTCCCTTAGTTCTAGGTTGATTCTCTAGTTCCCTTAGTTCTAGGTTGGTTCTCTAGTTCTTTTAGTTCTAGGTTGGTTCTCTAGTTCTAGATTGGTTCTTTTGTTCTCTTAGGTCTTTGGTTCTCACATTCTCTTAGTTGTAGGTTGGTTCTCTCATTCTCTTAGCTCTAGGTTGGTCCTCTTAGTTCTAAATTGGTTCTCTTAGTTCTAGGTCGTATCTTCCATGATTTTTTCCCTCTCCCCAGAGTTCCTGTGTCCCGGCCTACCTATCCGTATCTCCCAATGCCTAACAAAACACCCACAGGCGAACACAGAGACACACAAAACACTCACAAATGCCAGGCATCGACCCAAAAAAAACAACAACACACAAAAGATAAGCCAGCCTACACCTCCCCTTCATCTACCCGAACAGGGATCATTCCGTTCCCCTCCCACCAGCTAGCTCGAGCGAAGGTATAAAAAAACCTCGGTTGTCACCAGAGGGGCTCGGAAGCCCTGTTTCCCTTTGCTCAGAGCCCAGGTAAATTCAAATTTTTGCTCCTCCTGCGCCACCGAACAAGACGATTAGGAAAGAACCTCAGAAGCCAAAGAGGGAGCTGACTCACTCCTTCCTGTGGCGAGAGAGGCTGATCGAGAGAGACGCACGCCGAGCCACAGAAAATGAAAAGGCTGCCAGTTTCTTGGAGCGATGTGAGTAGGTGGGTTTTGGCCAGCTTGCTGTGTATCTGGGGTGGTGGGGCTGAGCAATCTGGAGAAGACCTGGCCAAGGTGTCTTCCGACTCCGGTAGGGAATCACGATGAGAGTGTTGCGGCTGGCTCTTCCACTGTCTTAACTTAAAAGAGAGGCTGAAAGCAGCGTGCCTTGCTTATTGCTTAATGTAGTAAAAATCCTGTCTGTTGGGAGGTGCCTTAAATACAACTTGGAAACAGGAGATCTAAACAGAGCTAATGAAAGTCATTAAGGAGAGGAGTGATCTAGAATTAAGGAGAAATTTCCAGACAGTTGAGAATAATTCATTAGGGGAACAGTTTACTTCCAGAAATTGTGGGTGCTCCATCACTGGAAGTTTTCAAGAAGAGATGGGACAGCCGTTTGTCTGAAAATAGGGTTTCCTGCTTGAGCAGGGGGTTAGACTACAAGACCTCCAAGGCCCCTTCCAATTCTGTTATCCTATAACCCCAGATCAATTAACCCGTGGAAAGGCTTGCCTCCAGAAGTTGTCAGTGAAAATTGAAGGTTTTCAAGAAGAGATTGGACAGCCACTGGTCTGAAATGGTATAGGGTTTCCTGCTTGAGTTGGGGGTTGGACTAGACGACCTCCAAAGTCCCTTCCAATTCTTCGTTAATCTGAGATCGGGATCCCTTTCTCTTCCCCAGCTAAAAATGGGTGAGATCTCCAAATTTTAAGGGCAATAAGTAAATAGCTTTTGTGGGGGAAGAGAGCATCTAACTGCCCGCCCTTTCTGAATTCTAGGAACAGAGTTAATTAGTTAACTCTGGGTTACAGCTAATCTGTAACCCTTGTGCCACTTTCCCTCTCTTTGCTTCAACAATTATTACAAGAGGAAGAAGGGAGGGTAGTGAAATAAAAAGAAGAAGCAGGGGCCCATCAAAGCAACTCTTTCCCCGCCCTTAAGCTGTGTGGATCATTAATGAAACATTTCTCATTTTAGAGACTGACGCAGGTTGGGGTCTGCTTTTGGCTAGAGGCATCGGAGAAGGGCATCGAAGATCGAAACCATCCCAAGGTTCAAATAATTTAATATTTGGGCGGCGGGGGGTGGGGAGAGAACGGTGGCAATGTTAGTCCTAGTAGGGTAAGGGTTTTGAGGGGTGCCTTGGGTTGCAAGTAGCCACATTTCCTTGCGTCTTCAATCAATCAGAATCGAAGGGACCTTGGAGGTCTTCTAGTCCAACCCCGCAGGAGAGCCTATACCATTTCAGACAAATGGCTGCCTAGTGTCTTCTTAAAAACCTCCAGTGATGAAGCACCCCCAATTTCTGAAGGGAAGCTATCTCACTGGTTGATTGTCCTCACTGTTAGGAAGTTTCTCCTTAGTTCCTTGATTCGTTTTCCATTTTGACGTTTCTTGTCTTGCCTTCTGGTGCTTTGGGAAATAAGTTGACTTTTCCCTCTTCTTTGAGGCAGCCCCTCAAATACTGGAAGACCTGCTATCGTGTCCCCTCTCCCTTTCCCAGTCCTTCTTTTCTCTATAGACTGGCTATATGTGTCCTCTTAAAACAGCTTACAAATCAAAGATGGTTGCACGTCTTGTGAAATCGCGCGATGGGTGTGTGCAGGCTTGGCAGAAGCGGTGAGAAGATGATGATTTGAGCTGGCAGGAGCCTTTCTTTATCTGATCTCAACACATCCAAAGCTGGGCTCCTCTAGGCGTATTTGATTGTATCTCCCATTTTCCATCGTAGGCACGTTAGGGCAGGGACGGCAGGGAGGAAAAAATGGCTGCTGTAGCTGGGTGGATTTGCAGACAGAGAGAAAAATGCAGCCCGAGAAATTTCCTGACAGTTGAGAACAATTCATCTGTGGAACAGCTTGCCTCCAGAAGTTATGGGTGCTCCAAATTAGATTTTTTTTTTTTTAAGAAGAGATTGGACAGACATTTGTTTAAAATGGTACAGGCTTTCCTGCCTGAGCAAGGGTTGTTGTTGTTGTTGTTTTTTAGTTTTATATACCGCCCTACTCCCGAAGGACTCAGGGCGGTGAACAGGCACAAAATAAAATACATAAATACAAAAGTTAAAAGATATAATTAAAACCAGATTAAATCATTTAGCCCAAGACAATTAAAAAATCCCAATAATTTAAAACAAATTAAAATTTCGATGTAAAAAAGAATTTTAAAACAGGGTTGGACTAGAAGACCTCCAAGGTCCCTTCCAATTCCGTTGTTCTCCGTTATCCTATAACCCCAGATCAATTCATCCATGGAACGGCTTTGCCTCCAGAAATTGTAAGCGCTCTTAACACTGGAGGGTTTTTTGTAAAGAAGAGATTGGACAGGCATCTGTTTAAAATGGTATAGGCTTTCCTGCCTGAGCAGGAGGTCGGATAGATGACCTCCAAGGTCCCTTCCAACTCTTTGTTATTCTGTTATGCAACTCACTTTGAAACTGGGGGGGGGGTTTGAAATCAATGATGATACGTTTCACTGAGCAACAAAGCTGCATTGTTTTCTTGGCAGCGTGGAAGCTGTTTTTCTAGTCCTGAGCAGATCTGTTTTTATACGTGCTAAATGCACCCTAACGAAAAGATGACAGACAGCAGAGACAGAGGTTGAAACCTGCTGGGCATCCACGCCCTTAACAAAAGCAGTTGTGTATTTTACTCGCTTCTCTGCCTGCCTTACAAGGTTGCCCCGGGCTGTGGACGATTTGACAAGAGTTTAGAAATAGTTCAAATAAGTACATTAGTGTTTGTCTGGCGCAGAAAGCATTCCCTTTTGGGCAAAGCAGTTTTAAGCTCTGGCCGGAAGATTCCGGAGAACGAGAAACGTCAACAAGGAAAGTAAAATAAGACACAGCATGGAGAAAGAGTTGATTTTAACGCTTGGCTTGTTTTTGTTGGCGTGGCCGCATTTGGAACACAATTAAGCACCGGTTGTGTTGGATGAAGTGAGACGCAGTTACTCCAAAAAAAAGGTACTATTCCCCTTTGGGATAGGTTGATATGGCTCTCTTTTTTGGCTGTAAGGAAGCAAAAAAAGGTAAGGAAATGTACTTTGGAACAATCTCTAGTCTAATACGAGTCTTATATATGAGCCAGCTGTGTGCAGCAGCTGCCAAAAAAGCCTTCTGTGTAAAAAGAAGGATAGAATCAACATGAAGTGTTTTATAAGGACTTGTTAAGGCTAAACTTGGAATCTTGCATCCAGTTTTGGTCGCCACGATGTAAAAAAGATGTGGAGACTCGAGAAAGAGTGCAGAGAAGAGCAACAAAGATGATTAGGGGACTGGAGGCTGAAACATATGCAGAACAGTTGCAGGAACTGGATATTTATTTATTTATTTTATTTATTTATTAATTAAATTTCTATACCGCCCTTCTCCAAAAAGGACTCAGGGCGGTGCACAGCCAAAGTAAAAACAGAGCATACAAAATTTAAAAACAATATTAAAATAATTAAATATTCTCGCCGTAAATTAAAACAACCCAATTTAAAATCAATTTAAAATTAAACTCACGCCAGCCCAGCTAGTTGAAATAAATAGGTTTTCAGGGCCCGACGAAAAATCCGGAGGTCTGTTATTGTACGTAACTCTGGGGGAAGGTTGTTCCAGAGGGTGGGCGCCGTCACAGAGAAGGCTCTCCCCCTGGGGGTCGTCAGCCGACATTGTCTGGCGGACGGCACCCTGAGGAGGCCCACTCTGTGCGAGCGTACTGGCCGGTGGGAGGCTATTGGTGGCAGAAGGCGGTCTCGTAAGTACCCCGGCCCTAAGCCTACTATGTCTAGTTTGATGAAAAGAAGGACTTGGGGAGACATGATAGCAGGGTTCCAATATCTCAGAGGCTGCCCCAAAGAAGAAGGAGTCAAGCTATTCTCCAAAGCACCTGAAGGCAGGAGAAAAAGCAATGGGTGGAAGCTAATCAAGGAGAGAAGCAATTTAGAACTAAGGAGAAATTTCCTGACAGTGAGAACAATTAACCAGTGGAACAATTTACCACCAGAAGTTGTGAATGCTCCAACGCTGGAAGTTTTTAAGATGTTGGATAACCATTTGTCTGAAGTGGTGTAGGGTCTCCTGCCTAAGAAGGGGGTTGGAGTAGAAGACCTCCGAGGTGTTATTCTGTTTAAGTAACTGAAAAATTACAGAAGCTCGTCTATGTTATGCGATGGATCAAATACCTAAATTAGAGGCAGATGAACTATCCTTAGAAATTCTCACGGATGTGGAGATCACAATGTTTACAGATTGGTCCCCGCTGGGACATACATTCTGCAGAAAGCTCTGTTTGCGCAGCCATCCTTGGGACAAATAAGTTTTGTCTTCTTTGCAAAAGTGTGAATGTGTAAATATCAGAGGGAATCCTAGCAACGGACATGACGCTGAAGGCAAGGTGGGAGGTTCACCTCAGGCAAGAAGCGTCAGTCAAGAAGCTGCCAAAAAGGTTTTTATTTCTTTAGAAGAAGTTGAGAGGTTGGACTGTGGGGATCTCAGATTCACGTAGCTTCAAACCACAATCTGACATTATGCCAAGACTGGGTCAATGAGGTTTTAAAAAATAAGGAATACATAGGTAAGTGAATTTAAAATATGGTTGTATTCAATAGCAACTTGTAAAAGGTTTGTTTTTCATTTTAGGTTGAGTTCAAATTTATCCTCAAAGGATGAATTGGCCTTCCTTTGTCAAATTTATCCATTAAACAGATTAAACTGGTGAATTAGCTACTGTTAATAATAAGAGTACAGTTAGCTCTCAGCTTTCCTCTCTCCCCTCTCCTCTCCTTTCCTTCCCTCTTTCCTTCCCTTCTCCTTTCCCTTCCCTCCCTAGCTTTCCTTTCCTATCAGTTTTTCCTTTCCTTTCCCTTCCTCGTCCATTAATTTCCTTTCCTTTCTCCTTTCCTTTCCTTTCCTTCCCTTCTTCCTCCTCTCCTTCCCTTTCCTTCACCTTTAATCTGTCCTTCCCTTCCATGTCCTTCCCTTCCCTTCTCCTTCCCTTCCCCTTTCATCTGCCCTTTCCTTTCATCTATCCTTTCCTTCCCTTCCTTCTCTCCTTTCCTTTCCTTTCCTTCCCTTCCCTTCCTCCTCTCCTCTCCTTTCCTTTCCTTTCCTTTCCTTCCTCCTCTCCTTTCCTTCCCCTTTCATCTGTCCTTCCCTTCCTTTCTCCTTCCCTTCCCTTTTCATCTGTTCTTCCTTTCCTCCTTTCCTTTCCTTTCCTTTCCTTTCCTTTCCTTTCCTTCCTTCTTTCCTTTCCTTTCCTTTCCTTTCCTTCCCCTTCCCTTCCCCTTCCCCAAGCCGTTCTAATCCCTGATCTCCCTTTCACAAGAAAGTTAGCTCTCTGATAGCTTTTCCATGTCCCACCTTTGCTAGCTATGAATTCACCCCCCTACAAAAATTCTTGCTGTTGCTCTTCTGATGGAGGACAATCACAACTGGATGAGGACCTTCAGGAGGATACTAGCAGAGAATGCTCCATCATCCTTTCCACCCCTCGTTCTGATTTCCTTTCTCCGTCTCCTTTTTTCCCCTTCCTCTTTATTTTTAGTGGGAGATGACTCCATGCCCCGATGTAATCCTAGTTTCCTATCTAGATGGTCAAAACAGGAAGAAGAACTGAAAACCTTTTCCCGAAAGATCAGGAGATATTCTTGCAAAACGAAAAGTAACATGGTGGCATCTCCAGGGGTGGGCTTCAAAAATTTTAGCAAGGGGTTCTCTGCCCGGGTGCTGGGTGGGCGTGGCCATGGTGGGCATGGCCTAGTCGACCTCCTGCACCATGGGGGGGGTGCTTTTTGCCCTCCCTGGGTTCCAGCGGCTTTCCTTGAGCCTCTGGGAGGGCCAAAACAGCCTCCCCAGGCTCCGGAGGCCCTCTAGAGGCCGGAAACGGGCCCGTTTCCAGCCTTCCCAAACTTCTGGTAGGCCCGTTTTTCACCCTCCCCGAACCTCCGCATGCATCCTGCACTTACATCCAAGACAGACCGCATGGACAGGCAGATCCAGCCAGGAGCGGGATTTGGGGGTTCTCCAAACTGCAGAGAATCTTAGCTAGAGGTTTTCCCGAACCTGCAGCAGCTCACCCCTGGGCATCTCACTCTTGCAAAAAGATCGTCTTGCAAAACAAGCAGTAACATGGTGGCATCTCACTCTTTTCTCTTCCTGTCTCTCCCCCCCCCCCCTTCCTTCTTTTCTTCTCATTAGACCAAATGAAATGAAATACTGAACAATCAACTGCAGGAGCTTTGGGAATGTCCATCTGCGGCAGAAAAAACAGCTCGTCCCCTCGAATTTGCGGCTTCGTTTTCGTCTTTACGTTGTTCCTTGTGTCATATTATTGGAAGAAAAGCTGGGATCCGTTGAACGAAAATGCTAAGGAAGGGAAACGCCCTGGCAGGTTTTGCAAAGGCCGGCTCGCCGACGGTGCAATCACCCCACTCCAGGATAAACACAGTTTTATCATCACCCCTTATTTTGACAAGCGACAGGAAAATCTCGTCCGGGTCCTGAGCATTATCCACCATCAAAAAGTCAGCAAGATTTACTGCATCTTTTGCTGCGAGAACAGCCAGATGATTGAGGTCGTACAAGGAGAAATCGATGTCCACAAAGACCGCTTCGGTTTCCCATACGGCACTGCAGATCTGCTTTGTCTTCAGCCAGAAGACTGCCAAGCTCACTTCATTTCTGTCCATCCCGAGAATCCCAACCTGGAATTGACCCACCTGCCCCTATTTCCCATCCGAAACCTCTATCCGGAGAAGCCCTCTGTGGACTTCACGATCTGTATGTCTACCATGTTTGGGAAATACGACAATGTCTTGCAGTTCGTACAGTCCATGGAGCTGTACAGGCTTCTGGGGGCCCAAAGAGTGACGATATACAAGAACAGTTGCAGCCCCCTCATGGACAAAGTTCTCAACTATTACATCTCCCAAGGCATCGTGGAAATTATTCCTTGGCCCATCGATTCGTACCTGAACGTTTCGACCCACTGGCATTACTCCATGGAAAGGAAAGATTTGGGCTACTACGGGCAAATCGCAGCCTTGAACGACTGCGTTTACTACAACATGTTTAAAAGCAAATATCTCTTGCTGATTGACCCCGATGAGGTTATTCTTCCCTTGAAGGATGCAGACTGGAAGTCCCTAATGGAAAGATTAGAAAAGGAACATCCAGGAGTTGGGATTTTCCTTTTCGAAAACCAGGTTTTCCGTCGCACCATGTTCTCCGAGACTCCTTTCAACTTTTCATCCTGGACAACGGTGCCGGGGTTTAACGTCTTTGAACACATCCACAAGGAACCTAAAGACGTTCACAGTTTCAATAACGTGAAAATGATTCTGGATCCAACCAGAGTCATTCAGACCTCAGTCCATTCTGTTCTCAAGCTGTATGGAGGCTCCCTTGAAGTCGCCAATGATCTCGCCTTTAATTTCCACTGCAGGATCGCCGAACGTACGAACTTACCCGATAGCACTTTGATTCGAGACCCAGTCTTCTGGAGATACAACAAAACTTTGATCCCCAGAGTGAATGATGTCTTATTTAAATCTGGGATTTTAGGAGCCGGTGACTCGGCGCAAAAGCAAAAAAGTTGAAGCCTTAGTAAATTGCATCAGTGTGTGTCTGTGCATGGTTGTGTGTGTGTGTACACTCACATCTATGTTGTCAAATGTGAACAACTAGATCCATACATGAAAAGTGGATAGGAATCATCTCAGTCTTACCCAGGGTAAGGCTAGATAAGGTTCAATGGGAAAATTAGACTTCACCTACTTATGTCCATGTAGGGATTCCAGACTAATTCCCTGCTTGACTCCTCCCATCCCCCCTGGCTAGGCCAGTTTCTCTCCAACACACACACAGACAAATATGCACAGAAACACATGCTCCTTAGTTGACTGCATGATCTACCTCTCAATCTTGACACTATTTCTACTTCAGGAAAAACAAAATGCTCATTTTGGGGCAGCACCCTAATCTTAAACCGCTTTTTTGTGGAAAAGACTGATGGCTAGTCCTTTGATGGCAGTCATTTAAACTTTAAGCGCAGGTTGTCCTCGATTTATGACCACAATTCAGTCCCACGTTTCTGCTGTTCAGTGAAACATTTGTTAAGTGAGTTTTGCCCCATTTTATGACGGTTGTCAAGTGAATCACAAAGTTGTTAAGTTAGCAACCCGGTTGTTAAGTGAATCTGGCTTTCCCCATTGACCTTGCTTGTCTGAAAGTCACAGAAGGGGATCACATGACCCTGGGACACAGCAACCGTCATAAATATGAATCAGTCCCCAAGCATCGGGATTTTGATCCCGTGACCACAAAGGTCAGAAGTGCGAAAAACGGTCATAAGTCATTCTTTTTACAATCCCATTGTCACTTCGAACAGTCACAAAATGAAACTGTTGTAAGTCGAGAACTGCCTGTATTTCACCATACCTTGGTTGGCGGGTTAGTCTTTCCTGTAAGGTGAGCTCTCATTCTGTAGCATTCTCTTTTATTATAGGTTCCTTTCATTTTTAGAATTTCGCTGCTATGGTGGAACTTGATTACGCTCTTTTGGGCGATCAATCTCCTTGAATCATTGGGACCGATGTTGAAGATATTTAAGCTTATCAATCAGGGCAGGGGGTGTCAAACTCGATTTCATTGAGGGCCACATCAGGGTTGTATTTGATCTCGGGGGGGGAAGGGGGGCAGTGTGGGCGTGGCCAAGGTGACATCACTAGTGTCAGGGGTGCCTGCGGTGGCCCAAGTGCTCTACCAGCGAAAATGGGCTCCCGAGCTCCGTTTTCAGCCGTGACAGCTTCCTGCAACGCCCTGCCAGTGAAAATGGAGCTCTGTTTTTGCTGGCAGAGGCACTGCGGGCCAGTCCTTTGCTGTTTCCAGGGCAGCCCCGCGGGCCAGATCTAAGCACCCCGCGGGGCGGATCCAACCCCCTGGGCCTCGAGTTTGACCCCCCTCCCCCCCCGAATCAGGGGAAAGAAGACAGGTCTTCTAATCCAGTAGTCTCCAATTTTTGCAGTTTGGCGACCTGGCCCAGTGCGAGGTGTTTGTGTGTGTGTGTGAGTGTCAGGCACGCGTGTGCATGCACACAGCTCCATTGGTGTGAGCAGCATCAAATCGAGCTTCGTGTTTGAGTGGAGAGTGCTTGCGTTTGCGCACAAAGCTCCACTCGCGCGAGCAGTGGGCGCTTGTATTCGTGCGTGAAGCTCCACTTGTGCAAATGGAGCTTCGTGCATAAGACCAAACACCTTCTGCTCAAGTGCCTTATGTTTGCAAATGTGCAGCTTCATGTCTGCGCACTTGTCGGCTATTCCTGTGAGTGGAGCTTTGCGCACACTTGTTCATCGCTCGTGTGGTCCGGTTTCAAACAGGCGGCGGCCTGATGGTGGGAACCCCTGTCCTAATCAATGCAGGGGTGAAATGCTCCCGGTTTGCACCAGATCGCCCAATCCGGTAGCGATGGCGGCGGGTGGTTCGGAGAACCAGTAGCAAAAATCCCTGCCCCCCCCATCACACCATGGCCAGCTGAGCCGCACGATCATCAGAGGCTTTTTTTTTTTACTTTTAAAAGCATTTTTTCTACAACCTCTTCCGATGAGAAAATGCTTTTAAAAGTAAAAAAACAAAAAAAGCCTCTGATGATCGCGCGGCTCAGCTGGGATCGTCAGAGGCTTTTCAAAGCATTTTTTTCTGCAACCTCTTGGCTGAAGAGGTGGTAAAAAAAAATGCTTTGAAAAGTCTCTGATGATCCCAGCTGAGTTGCCTGATCGGCAGAGGCTTTTCAAAGCATTAGAAAAAACGCTTTGAAAAGTTTTTTTAAAAAGAAGTTGGCCACGTCCAACCAGTCATATTACCCACCACCACCAAGCCACACCCACAGAACCGGTAGTAACTAATTTTACATTTCACCCCTGAATCAATCTGTATTTGATCGAAAAAAATGGGAAGCCAGAGGGAGAAATAAATAAGAATTAAAACTGTGGGTTCAACCCAGAATCTGTTTTTTATCTATAGAGAATGGATGGGTGATGTCCATGGCAATTGCTTATTAAGTCCTGAGATAAAATCCATTAGCAAGTATAACCCAGGATTTAATGATATAAAAAAATGGAAGGTGGCACTTCTCTTGAAAAAAAAAAAACAATGTACTCAGGGCAAAAATTCTGTAATTCTTTCTTAAGTTGAAAACTTTGCTTTATTGAAAATTGGGCTACGAGGGTTATATCCTAATCATGTTCATGAACTTCTATTAAATGGATAAAACTCTTTCCAAAGAGTTGTGCTTACAGGAACTTTGAAGGATAATAAATTTACTGATGCAGACTCTTGATAATTACTTTGTGGTGTCCTTTCCTGCCTCCTTCGTTGAGATTTTGCACCTAAATTGTGCAGCTGCACCCAAAACGCACAGCCGGAGTAAGACTGCAATTGCCGCTATTCTGAATATCGATTTTAAACAAGGGCCGTAAGAGGTTGCCTTAGAAAAACACATTAAATTTTAATTAGATAAAACCTATTCTGTGTGCTGGCAAAAGAATATTTATTTCTAGGTGCACGTCTCAAGGCACGAGATAGAAGAGTCTTCAAATCTTAAGTCTATATTCTGGCAAGTATGCAACTTTTCCCTCTGATTTTGTCCATATTTCTCCCTCTGATTTTGTGCCTGCAACTTCTCCATCTGATTTTGTGCCTGCAACTTCTCCCTCTGATTTTGTCCATGCAACTTCTCCTTCTGATTTTGCCCATATAACTTCTCCCTCTGATTTTGTGCCTGCAACTTCTCTGTCTGATTTTGCCCATATAATTCTCCCTCTGATTTTGTCCATACTTCTCCCTCTGATTTTGTGCCTGCTACTTCTCCCTCTGATTTTGTGCCTGCAACTTCTCCATCTGATTTTGTCCATGCAACTTCTCCCTCTGATTTTGTCCATGTAACTTCTCCCTCTGATTTTGTGCCTGCAACTTCTGTCTGATTTTGCCCATATAACTTCTCCCTCTGATTTTGTGCCTGCAACTTCTCCCTCTGATTTTGTCCATGCAACTTCTCCTTCTGATTTTGCCCATATAACTTCTCCCTCTGATTTTGTGCCTGCAACTTCTCTGATTTTGCCCATATAACTTCTCCCTCTGATTTTGTGCCTGCAACTTCTCCGTCTGATTTTGTGCTTGCAACTTCTCCGTCTGATTTTGTCCATGCAACTTCTCCCTCTGATTTTGTCCATGCAACTTCTCTGTCTGATTTTGCCCATATAACTTCTCCCTCTGATTTTGTGCCTGCAACTTCTCCCTCTGATTTTGTCCATGCAACTTCTCCGTCTGATTTTGTGCCTGCAACTTCTCCGTCTGATTTTGTGCATGCAACTTCTCCGTCTGATTTAATGCATACAACTTCTCCGTCTGATTTAGTGCATACAACTTCTCCGTCTGATTTTGTCCATGCAACTTCTGAATCTGATTTTGTGCATGCAACTTCTCCCTCTGATTTTGTGGATACATACACAGACACACACAAACACACCAGATCAGGAAAATTGCTTGTGATGAAACTGAGAAAGGCATGGGGGTTGCATGTTCCAACTCATTCGTAATTGTTTTTTGTTTAGCAATGTTGAGGGCGAGGCACATTTCTTCAATGATGAATGGAGCAGAGTTGGGGTTTGACTCAGTGCTGTTGTGCAAGACTATTGCGACGGAGGGGATGTGGAAATGACGTGTCCAATTGCCACTTGACCCAACTAGGTAACATCATCAGTGGTAGTAGGGAGTGGGGTTTGTGGAGAGGATTGCATCCTTGGTGCTCTCTAAGCTTGGTTGTTTTCTTGCAGACATCTCATGACCAAACCAGGTAACATCATCAGTGCTGGTAATGTAGTAAACTGAGAGCAAACCCCACTCCTTAGCAGCAGTGATGATGTTAACCTAGTGTGGGTAATGAAATGTCTGCAAGAAAGCAAGCTTCCCGAACCCAGTTTTTTTAAAAAAAAAAAAAAAAAACTTTGCTCTGGTTATTTTCTTAAGATATTTAGCTCCAGAGTATTATTTGACTGGGGGGAGATATGATCTCTCATAAAATTTTAACAACTGCTAGGCAAGTTGTGTAAACAACATCAGCTCTGATACAACCCCTAAAGGAGGAGGGATGTATTCCCAGAAACCTATTTTAGGAGACGTGCCTTTGGGTTTCATTCATCCAAGCTGCTTACAGGGTGGACCACCAAAATCTTCTCCGGTTGCTGTGTTTATACCCCGTTCCCCATTTTGCAAAATTATAAAGCTAACCAGCACCCCAAATGTTCTCAACCACTGGATAAACCAGGGGTGAAATCCAGCAGGTTCTGACAGGTTCTGGAGAACTGGTAGCGGAAATTTTGAATACTTCAGAGAACCAGCAAATACCACCTCTGGCTGGCCCCAGAGTGGGGTGGAATGGAGATTTTGCAATATCCTTCCCCTGCCACGCCCACCAAGCCATGCCCACAGAACCCGTAGTAAAAAAAATTTGGATTTCACCACTGGGATAAACCCAACCAGAAATGATTCTCTAGCATAGTTTGCAAACATCTGGGGTGGGGTGGGGGGTGAGAGAGGACTTTGCCTTAGGTGAGGACTGTCAGACAAGTGTTGCAAAATTCTCTCCTGGGTTTACCCTTGTTTGAAGATCTCCATGTTCTTGTTTCATTGGTTTTTGGTTTTTTTTTCCCCTGTGGCATGATATTTCCTGGCTGGGTTTAGGCTTTGCACTCCAAGCTGTTCTTTTGTTAAGGTGCGACAATCCCGAACGTCCTGTCCGCATTTTAGCACACCAGAGCACTTCCTTTATTCTTTACCTTTTCATAACAACAATGCATTGCCCACCCACCCCCACCCGGCCTACATAGAAACTGGATGGGGAATTTGGCAGATACCCAGATGAGAATTCAGGAACAGCTTTTGAATTTTGCAACGGGAGCTGCTGATTACAGTGTGGGTTATTTTGCATTTTTGGCTATTTGCTGTGAGTTCGATCTTTTAAGATACATAGCCATTAAAATACTTTTAGGAAGATTGACTCACCTGTCTCAGCCACACCAGGCTGATGCCTCACATTTTCTTCTAACAATCAAGATATTTTGACCATAAGTTGCAAACCTGTTTTTGCTCCAAGCTGTTGTATGCAAGCTAGAATCCTCTATGAAGATATTAAGATGTTTGGTAGCATCTGAATGGACTTCTAAAAATGGTAGACCTAGGAGTCCACAGCCATTATTCCATTAATTTGTAAGGCTGTCCAGAATAGTTTTTTTAATTGGGTGGTTGTATACATCTAATTAAAAAGACAAACAGATGAGAGAGAGAGAGAGAGAGAGAGAGAGAGAGAGAGAGAGAGAGAGAGAGAGAGAGAGAGAGAGAGAGAGAGAGAGAGAGAGAGAGAGAGAGATAAACAACAAATAAATATAGATAGATACATAAGATATAGAGAGATATAGATACCGGTAGATACATAAAAATAGGCAAGAGATAAGATAGATGAGATAGATAGATAGATAGATAGATAGATAGATAGATAGATAGATAGACAGACAGACAGACAGACAGACAGACAGACAGACAGATAGATAGATAGATATGGATAATTTGGAAGAGAGGGCCTTTTTAAGTTTACATGATTATTAACACTTCTTCCACCTGTACATGTATCCATGTATCTATGGATAGATACATTGATATAGAAATAGAGAAAAATATAGATATATAGAGATAAATAAACAAATATGGAAAGATACATAAGATATAGAAATAGAGATAAATATAGATACATAACGATAGACAAGAGATAAGAGATAAATAGATGATAGATAGATAGATAGATAGGTAGATAGATAGATATGGATAGATAGATATGGATAAATACATTGATATAGAAATAGAGAAAAATATAAAGATAGAGATAAATAAATATGGATAGATACATAAGACATAGAAATAGAGATAAATATAGATACCGGTAGATACATAAAGATAGGCAAGAGAGAAGATAGATAGATAGATAGATAGATAGATAGATAGATAGATAGATAGATAGATAGACAGACAGACAGACAGACAGACAGATAGATAGATATGGATAATTTGGAAGAGAGGGCCTTTTTAAGTTTACATGATTATTAACACTTCTTCCACCCTCAAGAGGGAAAAGGAGGAGGAGGAGGAGGAGGAGGAGGAGGAGGAATAAGAGGCAGCCATAATGGCACCATTTTCCACCATTTTGAACAGTTTATTAATAGCCATTGCGAGAGGAGAGAAAAAGGCGGGAATTTTTATATACATTTTAATTCCTCTCTCTCTCTCTCTCCCTCCTTTCCTCATGTAACTCTCCAGGGCTTAACTCTCTTTCTTTCTTTCTTTTTTCTTTTGAGGGGTGAAAAATAACATTTTTCTTCAGCCTCCTGAGGAAATCCTTGAGGTGAGGATTTTAGTTCTAATTTTTTTAAAAAAATTAGCCATTAATGTCAGGGAAATAATCAGGTTTTTTTCCCCTCCCCAGTCGTTGGCTTCAGCTCCCTCAACAGTTTGAAGGTTACCTCAGCTTGTTTAATTTAAATTAAATCTATTTTATTTCTATCTATTCCCTCCATCGCCACATTTTCTAAAATAGCCAGACATTTTGAAGGCCAATTAAAAAAAACAAAAGAAAAGAAAACCAGAGAAAAATGAAGTAATTTCAGGTTTTTTTAGTGTGTTCTTCAGCAAAGAGGAAAATATTTAATGGGGCGAATTGAGAATTAGGGTGTTTGTGTCTATGGATGGATAGAAATAGAAATATTGATAGATATTATATATATATATATATATATATATATATACACACACACACACACACACACACACATACGTACATATTTAATATATTGATATTGAATGTAGATAAATAGTATGTGTGTATGTGTGTATATATTAGATACAAATATATAAATCAAGAAATAGAATATATATATATATATATATATATATATATATATATATATATAATTATATATATATATATGTTTTTTTTCTTCTAGCCAGGTTTTCCCTACGTAACCAAGGTTTTTTGTAGCTCTTGGTTACGTAGGGAAAACCTGGCTAGAAGAAAAAAACACACATAAACCCTACGAAGAAATAAGAAAATTGATAAAAACTAAGTTGTTTTGCAGCTCTGGTTGTGTGAAATCTCATTCACAAGCTTCAGGGCTTTTTTTCTGTTGACAAACTGCAACTCTGTGTTGCTCTCTGGGAGAGTTGCAGTTTGTCAACAGAAAAAAAGCCCTGAAGCTTGTGAATGAGATTTCACACAACCAGAGCTGCAAAACAACTTAGTTTACGTAGGTAAAACCTGGCTAGAAAGAATATGCACATAAAAGCCTACGAAAAAGAAAAAGACATACATACATACATACATACATACATACATACATACATACATACATACATACATATATATATAAGATAGATATAAATATATAAATCAAGAAGTAGAATATATATTTACACACACAGAGATTAGATATAAATATATAGATCAAGAAATAGAATATATATATATATATATACACACACAGATTAGATATATAGATCAAGAAATAGTATATATTATATATATATATATATATATATATATATATATATATATATATATATACAGATTAGATAGATACAAATATATAGATCAAGACATTGATAGATATAATATATACAGATAATATATCTATATTGATGGAAATATATGTAGTTGAGAATTAGAGAAAGATGATAGATAATTGATAGATATTGAGATGATATAATGTAGCTGAGATCGATATAGTTATATATATATAGATGATCAATATAAATGATGTATAAGATATCAAATATACAGATGATAGATAGATAGGAGATGGATGGATAGAAGATAGATAGATAGATAGATAGATAGATAGATAGACAGACAGATAGATGGATGATAGATAGGTAAATATAGAGATTGAGAAATAGAGTTATTGATAGAAAGGTTAATAGATCGATAGAGAAAATATAAAGATTGAGATAGATAGGTGTAGATATGGATACAGATATTGATAGATAATATCAATTGATAATTGACAGATATATCAATATTAACATAGATGATATAGACACAAAGGTCATTATATCTTTTAATATATAAAGAAATATATAATAATAGATATATAAATAGGATGTAGTTAATATTTATCTGGTGGGGTGTGATTTTGCACATTAAGCATGCCTAGCAGGTATGGTTTGATTCAGTCTGAAGGGTCCCTGGTGCTCTCCGAGCTTGTTGGTTTTCTTGCTGATGTTTCATTACCCAACTAGCTAACGTCAGCAGTGCTAGTGGACCCGCTCTGTTGCCTAATTTCAACCCTGACCTACAAATATTTTCTTTTCAAACTCCGATCTACAAATATTCTCCTTTATCGGTAGGTTCCATCTATTGTGCTCAAAGTAGCCCTCGTTAAGGTCCAGCAAAAACGAGTTATTCAGTCCCCAGGTGGAACAGGTGATGCTGGACAAAGGTGGCTTCCTTATGAATGGTGAGGCAGCTGGGCCTTTGTGGAAAGGCTTTTCAAAGAAAGCAGCAGGAGCTTGTTTTTCAGGAACTGCTCAAGTTGAAACAGACACACCTGTACAGATTTACAGGCTCATTGCTCAGTTCCCATTGTATTTTAGAGGGTTCGAGAGATTCCTTGTGAAAACTATTTAGTTTTTAGGGAGGGTCATTTTTTTTTAAGGAGGAACAATGTAATTTCACTTACTCCTCTCATTTGACCAATATATCTATATATATTTTGTAGCAACATCAAAGGAATAAGATGCCTCGCTTCAAGAGCAAGATGATTTGGATGGCCATCCCTTTCCTAATTCTTCTGTTCTTCGAAATGTACTCCAGAAGGCCGTTGGCCCCAGCCCAACAAACCCAACTAAATTTGGGGGCCTGCAGAGGTGAGTTGGTCAATGGTACCATCACTGCCTTAAAACACAACAAAACCTTTGTCGTTTCGTTGTACCACGATGACCGGCAACAAAACCTCACCCGGGCAATTGCAATGGTACATTACAAAAAAATCCAAGATCTTTATTGCTGGTTTTGTTGCAGTCATAACAACCGCATTTCTATCATTCGGGCCAGCATAGACATCCATCCGGAGAGAAACGGCTTCCCGGTTGGTGGGGCAGATATCGTGTGTTTGGAACCGCAACGCTGCTTGCCACAGTATATGTCCATTCATCCATCGACCAAAGGATCCATGGCGGAGCTGCCGTGGTTTGAAATCAACAACCGGGTTGCCAGGACTTGGTTTGTGACGGAATACACCGTCTGTCTGTCGGTCATGCTCGAGAATTACGACAACGCCCTGCAGTTTGTGCAGAGCGTGGAAATGTATAAAATCCTCGGGGCCAAGAAAGTGTACCTTTACAAAATGAACTGCAGCTCGCTCATGGACCGAATCTTACATTTTTATGTTCAAGAAGGCACTGTGGAGGTCATACCTTGGCCAATTACTTCCTACGTGCGCTTGTCTTCTTTTTGGTATTCTTACCAGGACTGGGGCTATGGAAAAACCACCGTTCTAAACGACTGCATTTACCGTAATATGTACCGAAGCAAATACGTGGTTTTTCATGATATCAATGAAATTATCCTTCCCCTAAAACACCCAAATTGGAAAACTATGATCGATAGACTCGAGGATCAAAACCCAGGAGTTGGCATTTTCTTTTTTGAGACTCATTTTTTCTCTCAGAACGTATTTTCGTCTTTGGATAAATTCAACATCACGCTCTGGAAAACCATCCCAGGAGTTAACATATTGCGACATGTTTATCGTGAGCCCAATAAACTGAATATCAATATTTTGAAGAAAATGATTGTAAACCCGAGGAGCGTGGTTCAGGCGTCCAGCCATTCCGTTCTCAAAGGATATGGTCGGACGCTCGAAGTGTCCAGTGACGTTGCAATTCTTTACAACTGTAGGAGACACCTGGAAAACGAATTTGGGGAACAGTATCTCATGCGGGACACAACCATCTGGAGGTTCAACGTATCGTTGATTAGCAACGTTAATAAGGTTTTCGATCGCGTTCTCGGCCATCAAAACGATAACATCTCCAAGTCCTTTTGGGGCACATTCTTGGGAAGCCTTGCCAAAATCTTTTAAAAGATTTTCTTTGTTTTACTTCAACCAAAATTGCCCGATGAGGAAGGATTTTTCTCCACGAGGAAGTGTTTTCCTTCACACGGCCTGCGTGTCATTCATCCCTTTAGAAGACGTCAGAAGGATTAAAAGTGCAATTAGTTCCTCTTTATATCCTGCCTTTCCTCTGCAAATGAGTTGCTTTATCTGCTGTTTAATAAAAATAATTCAAAAATGTCATTTGCCTTTTGTCAGGAATGCGCCCCGAGAACATTTTGATTAATTGAACTGGTTGTTAACCTTCGCCACCGCCTATGATAGCAAGCGAACAACGAATGCATGTGCTCTTAAATATATATATATATATATATATATATATACCTGTGGAGGTTCTCAGTCATCCAGATCATGGTTGTCCCAAAGGTCCTTTTTCAAGAGGCAAAACTGGACTTTCTGGTTTTTCTTTGAAAACCTGTCGCTTCTCATCCAAGCAGCTTTTTGAAAAAGCACTTTTGGGACAAAATAAAAAGAAAGAAAACCCACTGAGATTTTTAACTGAAAGCATCTTTATGGCTGTTAACAAAAAACGTGGTTATTTCTTCCTCTGGGAAGAGAATGGGATTGTCAAAGAAAATTTAATTATTTCAGAGTGGGATGAGTTTGATATCAAAGTTGGATAAATCACGTTCGTGACCCTTGTCCTGTTTTTCACAGAAATAGCTTCCCTTTGGATGATCAAAAATTATAAAAAAATATATCCAAATATATATATGTGTGTGTGTGTGTGTGTGGATCATCCCTTGTGTTTTTCAGCAGAACAAACACAAATTATTATTATACTGATGTCAAGATGCCTTTTCTTCAAACAGCCATCTTGCCTTTATGGCAGGAACTTTACACCGAAGCAGAGAAAAAATAGGAGCCAGGGAAATCTGTGCGGGCCGAGAATAAATTTTAGATGTTCTTTTAACTGTATGGTGATTACTCAGTGCTGTTATTGAAGCTGTATGCAAAAGAGATTGAGGGAGAAATAATTTCCCTGGGGAATGGCAATCTTGCCCACATTTTCATGTCTGTGGCACAAGAAACCCATGCTTATTTGACATGTGGGGGCATGTCACCGGAGACATCGCAGTTCGAATGAGGACGGAAGGATTACAAAGGCCTTAACTCTACCAGTTCTCCAGCATTTTCTTCGGTTGTGTTTCAAACTAGTGTGCAGTGCTAGATTTGATCTCCATAGAACCTTATAAGTTTGCTGATCTTTGCTAGGCACCTTCCCTAAGGATGCCCCAAGGCAGCAAGTTCCATGTTCATGCTTGCAACCCATGTACGCTCTTTTCATTTACGATAGCATTGAGCAAGGTTTCCACCTTGCTATAAATCCGTCATCCTTGGCAGCATCCTCAAACTTGGTTTAATGTTCCCGGGATCTTCCAAGATGCGGTTTGTTGTAAAAAATAAGAAACCTCAGATGGCTGAACCATCTAACTAAGATCTAAGAACCATCCCCAGGACTTCTTGCAAATAAATGGTCTTTTCACCCACTCTGGAAAAGCCAAGCGTTGAAGGAGACTTCGCGGAAAAAGAAGCTGCTTGCAGTGAATGAGCCGGGAGCGGCAACGAGAGTCCGATGGTTGACGTAGATTTATCAGGAGTCTGAAACGATTGCATTATGGTAAAATGGCTCCAAACATTAGAACACTTAAAGAGCTGAACGGATTCCAAGCAGTCACTCTACAGCTTCACTGTCCTGAATTATTCATTATGCCTCATTTCCCTTTGCTTTCTGCCTTTTCAAAAAGGGCATTTGGGTTGAACCGAATGGGCGGGGGGGAACGCAAAACGAGCAGAGAAAGAGAGAGAGCGAGATCATGCTCACAACCGAAGGTGGATGGCCTCCTTGTTACCAAGTTGCAGGGTCAATCAGTGGTAATTGATTAATTACATTGATAACTGTCATCAATTACAGCGGTGGCCCCATTATCCTAGCAGGAGGAGAAAAGATAAGGATGGCTTCCATGCCTCATATAAACCTGTTGTAAATCAAGGATTGGCTGTAGTTGCCTTTTCATGAAACTATGCACCTCAAAAGTCATGCTGGATTGTCCTGACTTGACTCTGGTTTGACTCTTTTTTTTTTCTTTTGGCATTGGCCATTATTTGTATAACATGAGAACGCTTGCGGGCTACTCCCTAAACACAAAAGCCGTTGCTGGATTGATTCAGGTCAGCACAAAGAGGTTTTACCCATCATTAACCTTAACTGAATTTGTGTTTTGGTTTTCATGGAGACCCAAAGGTGGAGCTGAACACGGTACAAAAAGCCAGAAAAAACTAACCAAACCTTTGTTGGTGACTCTCATTTGATAGATAGATAGACAGACAGATATAAACAGACAGACAGACAACACAGGAGGACAGGACAGATAGATAAGAGAGCAAGAGAGAGAGAAAGAGAGTAGATAGATAGATAGATAGATAGATAGATAGATAGATAGACAGATAGACAGATAGATATTTATTTATTTTATTTAATTTGTATACCACCCTTCTCCAGCAGGACTCAGGGCGGTGAATAGCAAAGATAAAACAGAGCATACAAAATTTAAAAAACAATTTAAAAGGTAATTAAATAATTTCGGCCCACAATTTAAAACAGCCCAATTAAACCAAAACGGATGGGATCAAGCCAGATAGATAGACAGACAGACAACACAGGACAGGACAGGACAGGACAGGACAGGACAGGACAGGACAGACAGACAGATAGGATAGACAGACAGACGGAAGGACAGACAACACAGAAGGACAGGAGATAGATAAGAGAGAGAGAAAGAGAAAGAGAGATAGATGAGAGAGAGAGATGAGAGAGAGAGAGAGAGACGGAGACAGTCGGACAGACAGAGAGAATTTTAAATCCTTTTTCAAATAGTTTTTTTTTTTTTAAATATCATCCTGTAAACTTTTATTAGCACATGCCAAAGAGATGCTTTTTGCTCCGGCTCGCTTCCAAGAACAGAGAGAACTATACTGTCTGCTCTCAAATCTGATTTTTTTTTTAAAAGAATCCAATGTAATGTCAGCATCCACCTTGAGGCTGAAAACAGATAAAGGAACAGTCACCAAATAACCGATGTTCCTTTCTCGTCTTTGTTTAAAGGATTACGGTAATTTAATTGTAGACTCAAATGTCATTTTTTTGGACATCAGTCTTGGAATCTTCCTTCTAATTTAATCCTCACCCTTCTTTGTGCCAAGCTGCAGTCATCTTGTTTTTTTCTGACTTCAAATGTTCTCTTCCTGGGGGAAAATTCCTACTGGGCAGTTCCATCAAACTCTGGAGTACCAGGTAGTCCTTGTTTTACAACGGTTCATTTAGTGACTTTAGTAAATTAGTTCAGGTACAACGGCACTGGGGGGAAAAAAGAGGAGACTTTTGACTATTTTTCACAATTGCGACCTTTGTAGCATCCCCCCCTCTCCCCGTACACGTGATCAAAATTCAGATGCTTGGCAACTGACCGGTATTTATGACTGTTGCCGTGTGATCCCCTTTTGTGACCTTTTGACGAGCAAAATCAATGGGGAAGGCACTAATTTAACACTAATTTAGTAACTTATCAAGTGTGGCGATTCCCTTGTGGCAAGAAAAGTCATAAAATGGGGGGGACGAGGACTCACTTAATAAATGGCTCACTTAACAACAAAAATCTCTACATGGGGCTCCCCTTGAGGAGCACTCGGAGGCTCCAACTGGCGCAGAGTGCGGCCGCGCGGGTGGTGATGGGAGCGACGTGGCGCTCCCATGTAACGCCTCTCCTGCGCGAGCTGCACTGGCTCCCGGTGGTCTTCCGAGTGCGCTTCAAGGTTTTGGTTATCACCTTTAGAGCGCTCCATGGCTTAGGACCTGGTTATCTACGGGACCGCCTGCTACCACCAATAGCCTCCCACCGACCAGTACGCTCCCATAGAGAGGGGCTCCTCCGGGTGCCGTCGGCCAAACAATGTCGACTGGCGGCCCCCAGGGGGAGAGCCTTCTCTTTGGGGGCACCTACTATCTGGAACGAGCTCCCCCCCGAGATACGGAGGATTCCGGATCTGCGTACCTTCCGTCGCACGCTGAAGACGTTCCTATTCCAGCAAGCCGGCCTGACCTAAACTTCTCCTCTTTTAAATGGGAATTTTAAATTTGGTTTTAAATTATTGGGGTTTTAAATATGGTTCAGCCAAATTTATTTAACTTGTTTTATTTCTATTTTAAATTTTGTATTTATATATTTTATTTCATGGCTGTTCACCGCCCTGAGTCCTTTGGGAGTAGGGCGGTATACAAATTTAATAAAATGAAAATGAAATGAAAAATGTTGGGCACAATTGTGGTTGTAAGCCGAGGACTAGCCACTAGCCATGACAGGAAAACAGTCACAGGAGACCCCACTAAGTCTTCTGTTTACAAAGTGTTGGAATCAAAGAGCTACCATCTTAGCTCCTTCTAAGAGCTTGCTTGATCTGACCAATCATCTTTTCGGCGGGAAAAAAAAAATCTTATTTTCTTATCTTATTTTCTGCTCTCCTGCAAGAACAGCCTGGTTTAAATTTTCATATGTGGAGAAGTGAACAAAAGCTGAAGGGTTCTCCCAGACACGCCGCTCATTCAATTTCTGAAACTGTGTGTATATGTGCATGAGTGAGACGGACAGAAATGATCTTTTAGCTATGCAGGCAGTCCTCGGCTTACAACAGTCCGTTCAGTGACCATTCCAAGTTAAAATGGCACTGACCGTTTTAACTTGGAATGGTCACTGGAAAAAAAAAAAGGAATCTAGGACCGTTTTTCACCCTTTTATGACTGTTGCAGCATCCCCACGTATACGCCATCAAAATTCAGATGCTTGGCAACTGACCAGTACTTATGACTGTTGCCATACAATCCCCTTTTTTGCGACCTTCCGACAAGCAAAGTCAATGGGGGAAGAAGCCAGATTCACTTAACACCCACGGGACTAACTCAACAAGTGCAGCGATTCACTTAACAACTCTTGGCGAGAAAGGTGATAAAAATCAGGCAAAAGTCATTTATCAACGGTCTCGCTTAAGCAACAGAGATTAGGGGCTCAATTGTGGTTGCGTGTCAAGGACTACCAGTATTCAAATCATCTTACATAATGGCGGTGAAGCAGAGCCGTTGAAAAAACAAACGAACAATTTGACTAACCTCCTTTTTTTTTTTTCTCC